TGTCTTCGTCGCTCTGTACTGAAGATCAGATGGCCGGAAAGAATCACCAACCAGAAACTATGGGAACAAACAAAACAAGAACCCATCGCCCAACAAATATGCAGGAGAAAGTGGAGATGGATTGGACACTCGCTGAGGAGGCCACTGGGTGACATCGCACGTCAGGCCAGTGCTCGAGTGGAACCCGAAAGGGAAGCGATGAGTGGGACGTGCAAGGGTGACATGGAGGAGATCGTGTGAAGAGGAGTTGAAACAGTGTGGATTAACATGGATACAGGTGAAAAGTACAGCAGAAGACAGAAGCAAGTGGAGATGTGCAGTTGAAGCCCTATGTACCACTAGGAACCCAAGGGAACCATAATAATAATAGAGTAAAGTCACAACAAATGGTTCTTAAGCCGAAATTTTATAGTCTCACCAGTTATCATAGCTTTTGGCTGACGATATATTACGCGGGAACTAGTTAAAACAATGATTCCTAGATTGTAAACATAGTTAAGTTCTACAGAAGCTATCAGAGATCTCAAAAGTTTATCCATGAATTCCCTACACTCATTGCTGTATAACACAAGTTTAAGGACACTGAGTCTCCGAGAATGTATCCCTCGTCCCTTTCCTTTGCTTTCCGATTGAAACGTAGAGCTTTAAGCCTCAGCTTTGAAGTTTATCAGTAGCTCTGGTGCCTTTTCAAAGGGTCGGGCTGTTAGTCTCACAACTCCAAACTTCCTTCTTTTCCTTGATTGTTATTGGCTAGTAGACTAGACATGGGGTTTGGGAATGCATCGGCGAGAGGTCGAATCCCAGACCTAGTACGTAGTGGGCATGCATCCTTGAACCACGGCGGACAGAGAACCAACCAAGCGCCTATCGCCCAGCAAATATCCCGAAGAAAATGGAGATGAACCGGACACACATTGGGGAGACCAGTGGGTAACCTCGCGCACCAAGCTCTCGGGTGGGACACGAGCTGGACATCCGAGAGACACTTGGAGGAGGTCCTGTAAGGAGAAGATGTCAACTAATAGGCAATCAGGGGATCAGCTAAAGAGGGTTGAAAAGAATAGGATGAAATGGCAATGTGCTACTAAAGCCCTATGTTTCAGTCAGGACTTAAGGGGATAATGTTAAGTTTCTGTAAGTACATGAAAGCACAAAACTTTAATAGGGCAAGAAACATCTAGGATTCGAGAGTGATATGTTGGTATTAATACTAAAGAGACATGGCTAGTAAGAATAGATAAAATACTCTTCTCAAGAAAGTATAATGAATAGTAAAATAGTAAATCTTTCATTTAACATACTTCGTGCAAACAATACGCGCATTCTGTATTCCAGATACATTGATTGTCCTTCCTCAGCTGTCTTTCGTATTTCTTACCCTTTTGGTTCCTAATGTGTCTTTTGTAGCACCTTCACAGTCCTGAACTGAATCTCATTTCTTTGCCAGTTACCATCACAGTCTTTATTACTTATTTTCATTATTATAAGTAGTACACACCACAGTTATTTGCCTTTTTCATTCCTTCATATTTCCGAGTGGAACATAAAGCTTCAAGATGGAGGACTAGATTTTCAGTAGTGGTCATGCTTTTTTATTTCATAAGTGGGTTTGTTATCCCTACGCCTTTATGAGGCTTATTATCAGCTGAGCAAGCTTTAAGAGTGTGTCGGTCAGGAATAGAACCCGGATCACCTGTGTGGTTGACCAGCATTCTACAGTCGAACCACCGACGCCACCACAGTTAGTTAATTTATCAGAAGTCATTTTTCTTGAACCAAGCTATGGGCCGCGCTTACTGTCTAAAACGCAGTTGCTTAGACTGCCACAAGTGAAGTGGGAGTCACACCCAATATCCATCAACTGAAAATCGATTGTTTAAGCCAACTAGCCCAAACTCTATGCACATTATGCCAGTAGCATACTGTAACTATTCTGCAATATTCCCAGTTGTCTATTTACAAGGATTTGATTGATTTTTAGCTCGATCACAAATCAAGGTCAGTTAAAGAACCAATTGGTTCGTCTTAGTGTGAGATCTATGACCACACCATGGATGTGACCTATGATCTTCAGGTTAAGAAGCCAGCCTGTTCTAGAATATCTGTTTACCTTTCATCTGTCCACCAATCATCCTTACACCCTTCTTTGCCTTTACTCTTGCATTTTTTCCACACGAAAAAAATATTTAGGTTGTTCAATTACAAGAACTTTTTGAAGTTAGACATTCTGTATTTATTGTTGGCAATGCTGGAACGGGTAAATCACAAGTATGGAAAACACTTAAGCATACATTTAAACTGCAAAAACATAAACCTGTCGCTATTGATTTAGATCCAAAAGCAGTAACAAATGATGAACTATTCGGTGTTATCAATCCAGCAACACGTGAATGGAAAGATGGTAAGTGAAATGTGAATGCTCAAGTGTTTGTTTTGCCGGGATTAGATTGGTTACAGGATCTCATCATGAGCTGATATTGGTTAGATAACCATTGGAAAACCTTGGAGTACTGAACAGCTGTTTCGTCCTAGTTTGAGACTCTTTATCAGTATGCACCCGCTAGAAGGGTGTAAACCAAAGACCGTCCGGTAGGTAGTTACCTGGGTTATAGTGGGAAGTGATGACCAGTAAGGTACATCAGGTCGGGTGTGACGACAAATACTCGCCACAAGTAACACTGGCTAGTGGTTGAGCTATATCGTGAATTGGTAGAAGTTAGAGTTCATGGGCCATTGGGTCGGGTCCCAGTGGCCTAATGGTCGACGAGCTCGCCTTGTAATTAGAAGGTCCTGGGTTCGAACCCGTGTTGTGGTTGCGCACCGATGAAGAGTCCCAAACTGGGACGAAACAGCTGTCCAGTACTCCCTGGTGGTTTTCCAATGGTTCTCTAACCAATGTCAGCTCATGATGAAATCCTGTAACCAATCAATCAAATCCCTACAAACCAACACTTGAAAGTTACGTAATCACAGAAAATATGTCTTTGTAAAACAGCAGAAAAGGGGGGTAGGGTGAGTGAAGATTGGATGAAAGAATGGAATTTTCTAAACAGGAGAGAAGATGACGTAGTAAACTTTGTATACTTTGTTATCATCAAGGGAGTGTGATATTCACCACTCTCTCTCTCTCTTTCTGCGTACACAGATTTGGTTTTAATCGTTTGATGGCGATTGCCTCAGCAAAACTTAGCAAGCTAGGTTCCTTTTGTCTGTTGATTATTTTGAACACCATCAAATTGTCCACAACTTGGCCAATGTTCAATAGATGAATCGTGATCGCAATGTTTCATGCCTGTAAGGTTGTGGAGGTGTGTGATACAGACAAGGTGTTCTCACGGAATATTATTTTCACGTATTTCCACAGTTCAATACTGCAACATTTTATTGAACATTCTATTTATGTTAGAGACAGAATACTTTCCACAGTTCAATATTGCATTGGCGACAGAATGCTATGTATATTTGAACATTCTATTTCATGTCGTTTAATGTAAACCAAAATCACACGCTCAGTGATTGGTTAACAAATATAAACTGTAGATATATAAACAGCGGTTTGATTAATGAAAAATATACTTTGGCTTCCGTGTCTTGCTTTCTGTTGTTACAAGTCCATTTAGTCTCAGGTTCTTTGGTATGTGTTTAAAAATGTGGACAACAACCCTTCCCTCTGTTCTTTGAATGTATGTGATGACGCACGTTTACATGTAAATTGGTAGACAAAGTTGGAGGTAACATGAGGTGGGAGTTTGTCCACTTTTGACTGTCTTAAACAACTACTCGTTTGATAAACACACACACAAGATGGACTCTTTCTCTACTCTGCTATAATTCACTTTATCACCACTACGTTTTGCACTTTTTTCGACGAATTTCTGTCGGTAACCACTATCATGCAGGCATTTTTCCACAGTGAATAGCTCTTCCTCAACTTTTTCTTCTAAGCAAAGATTTCTTACACGATCAAACAATGTACTCATCAATCCCTTTTGTGTAAATTATAGGGCAGAAGCCTTTGAAGTTCAGATAAATCGACACCCCCCCTCACACCCAGACCTCTTTTCTGTAGAAATAATCTACGATTTTACCATCCACATCACGTTGGTCAAGAAAATGAAATTTGTCGTCAATTTCACACTCCATTGTAAACTTTATATTCATTTGAACACTATTCAGGAGGTTTAATATTTGAAATGCTTCATTGAAACAATCAAAAATGACAAACATATCATCGACCGATTACAAAAGTTTAATTTATCCAATCAAATCTAGTAGTTATGATAGAGAAGATTTGTAGCTCAGGTGGATGATTTTTTAATGGTTGTGTTCTCTGAGCTGGATAGTTAATTTGAGAAGCTTTCATCGCCCTACTAGGCGACATCACCAAGAGAAATGATTAATAAACGCGTGGAGAAATCTGAAAGCTCACTTAAAATTGAAGTATGCGCTGAAGATGTCGCCTAGTAGGGCGATGAAAGCTTCGCAAATTAACTATCCAGCTCAGAGGACACAACCATATCAAAATCTAGGTAGTATAGTAACGACGGTAGACAAGGGCCAGACAACAGGTCGTTTATTGAGAAAATCAACAGATATTTATAGATTTTTATGTACATTATTATTCGTTATTTGTTAGCAGAGAAGCAACGTCTTCTGATTGGTTGTTTTCTTGTTGAAGGTTATTCTGTCATCTCTTTGTGGCCATTTCTTCGAAGGTCAGACCACATATCTGCGAATTGTATCCGCCCACGCTAAGTCTGCTGTGATTGGTTGTTGATTTCCTCAAGGTTAAGCTTTGTTATCATTTTTTTCTCATGACCGCGATATGGGAGATAAACACTGACGTGAATTGCTGTTTACCAATTTTGGCTAGAAAGCAGCTGTCACCACAGTATTATAAATTTTACTGTTTTTTTTAAAAAGTATTCCAATTACACTTTTGATCGGCATACTTTTGTTTGTCCACTATTACTTCCACTACAGGTTTATTTTCTGTTATTATGAGAAATTTAGCCAATATGACAGGAAAAGATCCAAAATGGATTGTACTCGACGGAGATATTGATCCAATGTGGATTGAATCTTTGAATACTGTTATGGATGATAATAAAGTGTTAACATTAGCCAGTAATGAACGTATCCCGTTAACAGATAGTATGCGATTGCTGTTTGAAATTAGTCATTTGAAGACAGCTACACCAGCGACTGTATCACGTGCTGGTATCCTGTATATTAATCCAGGAGATTTAGGCTGGACACCGTAAGTTTATTATTATTTTTTTTTTGGTGCAATTTTCAAACTAACTAGCATACACATTATTTAAATTTTATATTGAACAAAATCAGTGATAGGCGAAAGATTATTCTGAAGTACGATCACGAAATGACATCAGTTAGATGAGATTCTGAGAGGTGTTTCGTCACAGTTTGAGACTCTTCATCAGTACGCACCGCAAGACCCATTAGAGATCTTGCACTAAATGTAAAGGTCTGCCAGAACCACCATTGTGGATTTATACGAGTGAGTCTTAGGCTGGTTATCAGAATGTTGCTGGCATTTCCTATTTGTTGATAAAAAATTAAAGCGGACCGCTTAAATCTCGGGGGTTACCGGAAACCTCCATCAATATATATTGCATATATAATTTCGTTTAAATTTAGTGAAATATGACGTCTAATATTAACCTCCTTGTTCACAATGATTCCAATCATTTGTCAGCAGTCTGATCTTCTCCCACTCCCAGAGTCGGAATTCAAACGCCTACTCCTTATGTGTACCATGGATATGCTATTCCAATTTGACAACACTCTTTACCGCCAAATAGATGGTGTAGCCATGGGCAGTCCACTTAGCCCTGTTTTAGCAGATATATTCATGTCCAACCTTGAAAGAACAAAGTTGAAGCATGCGATCGACGAAACAAATTCCTACTGTCGATACGTTGATGACACATTTATAGTGTGCACAAATGAAAGTCATGCTTCACACTTACTAAGATTATTCAATTATGCACACGCCAATATTGAGTTCACTATGGAACATGAAAGTGACGGGAGGTTCCACTTCCTCGACGTCGCCATGGAACGCCTAGAAGACGGTAGTTTTCGAAAGTCAATTTATCGAAAGCCCACATGGAATGGACAATACTTACATTTTAACAGCTTTTGTCCAAATAGCTTTAAACGTGGTCTAGTCAAGTCTCTGTACTATAGAGCGAGGAGAATATGCTCTATAGAGAAATTAGAGCTTCTTGAAAAGATATTGAAGAGCAATGGGTACCCTCAAAGGTTCATCAACAAGTATGGAACGTAACATAACGGTGTGCCAGATAGCGTGAATGCCTGACCCCGAGCCTTCGGCTTAAAGAGTCAACTTAAACAGTGAAGGTCAGCATTCAATTTTAAGTTAAGAATATTGTAATTTTGGGGAATTATTCACCGCTACACTGATTATCAAAAATTTCTGTGATTATGTAACTTGAGGTATATGTACTGATAGAATCAGTGAAAAGTTATGCAGTTAACTTAGTACATGTAGCCATAGTCTTTAATTATTATAAAGATGGGTAGAGAATACATGCACTGTGTTGAAGTCTAAAGATACTCCTAATTTCTTCATACATATAAACGTGATATTTGATGAAATTCAATACATTCTCGCCTTAAAACACGACCAAGGTAAGTTAGATATTCTAATGGGTAAAATAAAACGAAAACAGGATGGAGGTTAGATACTCGCCTATATAGGAGTAGATACTACTTATACTTAGAATCATTTTGTATAAAATCAATAAAAGTGGATAATTGAGCCAGCATCATGACTAGTCTGCACCAAGATTTATCTGAAATGAACATGAAACCGATACACTTGACGTTAGATCACGTATGCCAGCATGTGCTTCACACCAAAATACCATTCCGTTTCCATTTCACTGAATAAGTAAATAGATAATGACAATATCGTTTTGTTTTTCATTCATTGGGAAATACAAAAAAAACCTTTATTATAATGTTTGCTGTTTATGTGATTATATTGATACAGATAGTTTAAAAACAGGGCTGCTAACAATCCATCTCAAAGAGCTTTTATTGAGATGCACGTTGAATGTTCAGTTCACCTTCAATAATGAAATTTTTAGATAGAGAGATGGCATTGCCATAGGATCACCACTGGGCCCCTTGTTGGCCGATTGTTTTATGGCAAAGCTTGAAAATTCTCTACTTAGTCAAACCATCGGTCATTTTGACATTTATAAAAGATACGTAGACGACACTTTCGTTATCTGCGATCAAAATGTAATTCTTGATGATGTCTTGTTTACTTTCAACAATTGCCATCTTTCTTTACAATTCACCGTAGAAAAGGAATCCGAATTAAGTATTCCCATTCTTGATGTGTGCCTTAGCAGACGTAATGACGGATCTCTCAAAAGATCTATCCACTGGAAACGTACATGGAACGGACAACTAAGTAATTTTTACAGTTGGGTGCCTATTTCCAGGAAAAGGAACCTGATTCATTCGCTTTGATTTAGGATAAGGAAAATTTGTAGTTATGATCGCGTTGACTCAGAACTTGACTTCTTAAAAGCTACGCTCGCAGAAAATGGTTACCCTAACCCATTTATTGACAGCAACACGAAAGACAAGCAGTCTAAACTGGTCACCGACACAGTTCCAAAGAAAACCTTATTCATGAACTTGGAATTCAAAGGTGATCAAGATTCAGATATGCTCAAAAATCGTCTCTCCAAATCAGTCCGTAAGACGTTCTATGCAGCAAAATTACATATGATGTTCACTGACCGCAAGTTGTTCTCTACCTCTGTAAAGATAAGCTCTCCCGTCTGGCCACCTCCATGTGCATCTATCAGTTCACCTGCTCTTGTGGAGCAAGGTACATTGGCCGTAGCCAGGGGACGCTTTCCACACGGATACGAAAACATATTCCAGAAGCATCGTTTTACAAGTGGGAAAGGAAGTGTGTGCAAAGCTCTATTCTAGAACACCTGATCGACTCCTGTCACTCTACCAACACCAACCATGATTTTAATATCATCTGCCGAATCCATGCTAACCTGCCGCGTTTTCTTCGTCACAGACTTCTAAAGACAGTGGAGGCCCTGGTAGTTCATGGCTTTAAGCCAGACCTTTGTGTACAAAAAAGAAGTATGTACAATGCCTACTTCTGCCTTGGCCGTTGAGGGATAGACATCTATTTATTTTGTTTATTTAGTTATTCTATGTACTTTTCCCTTATTACTACGATTATTATTATTATCATTATTATTATTACTATTCTCACTTTGAATCTTTTCCACTTGACCCACTTGACATTTTAAACCAAAAATTATTATTTTTATATTTTTATTTTTACAATATTGAATTCTATCTTATCAAATTTCACACCATGTTATGTAACATTTTATATTCGTCTACTAATCTTATAATTATGTACCCCTTTCCAAAATCTATACACCTTATGTATTTTTCTATATATGACATTAATTATTTTGCCACTTGACATTAAACTATGATTATAATCACAAATATTTCAATTGCATTTTATACTATTACTATTATTATTTCATGTATTCACACCTTTGACCTAATTCCCTCACTGGATAAAATTTTTATAAAAAACAAAACCATATATATACGATTGTACAGCTTGATAATAAATTCGTCGCTGAAAAGAGTCTCTTTGCTGAATAGTGTTTTTTATTATAATGGATTGACCATCAAAGTTTTTTTGTATTCCTTTGCGTTCCGATTGGAAAATAGATCCTTTCAAGCTTGAGCTCTGATGCTTCTGTAGCAGTGGTGGCTTTTACTGGGTGAAGTTGCTAGCCTCACACCCAACCTTCCCTTTTTGTCTGGATTACAACCGGCTAGAGGGGGTATTAAAGGTGGGCGCCTGTCAGGAATTGAACCGCAGACTATGTACATGGTCGGCCAGCATTCTACCACTGAACCGCCGACTCATATCAGTTGAAATTTAATGAAGGTAAGATGTATCCTCTTTGACCTCTTTTCTTTCTCCTCTCCTCCACACCCCTCCCCAACGTGTTACTTCTCCCTTACAGATTTGTACACAGTTGGTTAGATGATCGAGTGAAAATGAAAAAAACTCTATCGATTAGTGAAAGACCCGCCCTGTCAATCTGTTTTGACAAGTATGTTTCACCATGCCTTGAAATTGTTCGTCATCGAATGAAACGGATTACACCGATACCAGATTTAGCTCATGTTGAAATGCTTTGCTATCTGCTTGAATGTATACTGGACATTCAAAGTAAATCAAAAGATACACGTGAATTTACTAAAGAAAATTATGAAATGTTATTTGTCTTCTGTTGTGTCTGGTCATTTGGTGGATGTTTATTTAAAGATCAGCTGTGTGATTATCGTGTCGAGTTTTCAAAATGGTGGTTAAATGAATTTAAACAAGTGAAATTCCCCTCGGGTGGTACTATATTCGACTTTTTTTGGAGTTTAACAACACGAAAATTTGAAAGTTGGTCAACACGTTTAACTAAATGTGAACTGGATCCAGATATACCATTACAAGTAAGTGTTAGCATGGTCTGTTTATATTGTCAGTCTCGATGGAGTTTTATTTTTACCCATCCAGGTGTTGTTAACTTGAGCTAGGCTATTCAGGAGATTCTTGATGAATAGTGCGAATTGTGATTATAATCATAGTTAGACATCAAGCAGTATAGTAGGTTTTGAAATAATAGAGAAGATTTGTAGCTCAGGTGGATGATTTGCAATTAATAGTGTTCTCTGAGCTGGTTGGTTTAGTTGCGGAGCTTTCGTCGTCCTTCTGGACAACATCCCCCTTCAGCGCAATATTTAGCATAAAGTGAAATGATTTAAATTTCTTCATGAGTGATATAATTGCGTCTCCTGGTAACTATCTTTACATATGTATTGACCATTTTCTATTGAACACGGCTGAACACAAATCAGCCATGAAAAGACACAATATATATATTCTTTAGTATCAATGCATATAGACAATTACAGTCATCAATTTGATTGGGAGAATGTCAAAATCTTAGACAGAGGAAACACTAAAACTGCAGTCAGGGAATTCCTAGAAGTCTGGTACTCAAGCGAAAATGCAATTAACAAACACGTTAATATAGACGAAATATACCAACTAATAAAAAGTAAATCAGGTGACGAGAAAGTTTAAAATCCAAGTCAATAGAAAATAGTCAATACATATGTTTTAAAGATGGTTACCGGGAGACGCAATTCTATCACCACTCATAAAGAAATTTAAATCATTTCACTTTATGCTAAATATTGCGCTGAATATGTTATCCAGAAGGACGACGAAAGCTCCGCAACTAAACCAACCAACTAGCTCAGAGAACACTATTAATTGCAAGTATAGTAGGTTATTTGATTTATAAAATAGCTCATTGAATGTGTAATTTTAACAGAAGAAAGTAGAATGAACAAGGTTTTTAGACAATCAGAGCATTGATATTAGATGATTAGAGGGGATTGACAGGAAGCTTTGGACCTAGGTATAGTGCTTGCTGGCACTCACTGGTCAGCACTGCATATCTGCAACCTAGAAGAAACTTATATCTCTTCCCAGATTAGAACCCGTGTCATCCAGTGAGTGCTGCAATCAGAGACGTTGCTGCTGAGCTATTCATGTTCATGAATGACCTCCTTTGGGACTGTATTGAATACTGTTTAATAACTAGTGTAATATCCCTGGTCCTTTGTTTGATGCAAACTGAATTCATTCAGTCAAGTTTTCAATGTGGCCATCATTCTAGATTCCTCGATATTACAGTACAGTCTGAATTATCGACATTAGATATTCGAAGGTAATCGGCATGAAACCTTGGACCGAGGTTTCATACCGATGTCAAAATCGGAATCGGAAAGGCAAGAAAGACACCTTCATCACTCTTCTCCACTCATCAAAAGGAACAAAATTCGGATTTCCAACAGCAATACCGAGTCAGTTACTTCTTCGACATGGGTCAGAAACTTACAGCGCATGTCACGAAAAGCATTTCGAACTGACTAGTGCAGATTTTTACCAACAACGGCCTTCGGTGTCTCCATGATGTAAATGAAATGTCAAGAAAGGATTAGCGACAAAAACTCTGTGGACAAACTGACGAAAAGACGACTACTAAACAAATATGTTGGAGAAAATGGAGACGGATTGATGAGGTATCCGTTGAGGAGGCCGTCGAACGACATTGCGCGCTAACGGGGCCATCACTTGTGTAGAACCCAAATGGGCATCCAAGAGTGATATAGAAGAGATTGTGTGAGTTGGATGAGATGAGAGTCTATGGACGGTAGCAAGGTCAGCTGAAAGGGACTGCAGAGAACAGGAAAAAGTAGGGAAAATGTTGTTGAAGCTCTATGTTCCACCCAGTACTTTATAAAATATTCCATGTTACATAATATCAGTCTCAATTGTGGGAGATTGTAGAAATAACAAGTTTAGTAGGCAATTAAAACATTACTCAGCAGAGTGGAAATTATGATAAGACAACATTAGAAACATTATGTTGAATCAAATAAACAAAGGTGATAAGTGAGCTAGTAACACCGGAAATTGTTCAAAGTGAAATTGATAAAAACAGTCGACATGATAAGGGGAAGATATACAAATTGAATCAACAAAAAGAAAAACGAATACGGACAAAGTAGGAATTGGGATGATAACAGTTTAGCTTAGACGGAATAAGACCATGAAAGAAGGAGTTACTGAACAATCGTTTTCTGTATACAATGACCTGGCTTGTTTGTTTCCATAGCTAAAGCTTCAGTAATACAGATGAGTTGAATATATGTAATGATTTCGGCAGGTTATTTTCCGCTAAGTGTATAATTTTAAAGGAAGGAGTCTGTAGGAATAAGGTGAATAGTGTCGACCGAATGTTTAATTACTATGCTCCCTATTATAGCCCGCTTCCACCACTTTTTAGCCACTCGAGGTAGTGTTCTTGAACTCCTTTGGATAAAGCCCTTGTCAAACGACTGATAGATATACCTAGCTCCATAAGATTAGGGGGGCTGGTACAGAGTTGATCAACCTGGATATCTTGTCCTTTAGATTATTGAACATTAATTGTCGCCTGGACCATACTACAGCCATTGTCCTTTTCAAGGACTTTTGAGATCTTTGTTTTAAGGATTTCAGCAGTTAGATCAACTTTGAATTCAAGGTTCACATGTAGTGTGGTGAAAGATGGTCGCTAGCCAAATTGGTTGACAGTAATTGAGGTCAAAGGTCAAGGTTGTCAGGCGGATACAGTTAACATGTAGTTGAACTGACACAGCCACAAGATATGCAAGGTTAACCTTGCGAGAGAAACAACCAATCAACAGGCTGTATTTTCTACTAACATTGACCTACAATAATGTACATAAAAATCTATAAATACGTGTTGATTTTCCTAAATAAACGATCTGTTGCCTGGCCCTTGTCTTCTGTTGTTACATTTGGTGTCGCTGCCTACCGACAAATGGAAAGCCTATGCCCTGCAGTTTTTGATGGAGACATATGGATCTTCGGGCAGGACTTCGAGGCTTCTTCGCAGTTGAGTGGCGTTCAAGATCTGTCAGCGATGAGGCTGCTACTTGGGACGCTGCTGGGAGGTCGGGAGAATGCAGCATATGGAAGTGTGAGTCGAAATACCTACGAATGTGTGACAGGGTCAGGCAAACAGTTTCCAAAGTGGGAAGGACCATATATGGTCACGTTGAGATGGGGTTACGCAGACACAATCGCAATGGTAAACACAGAGAAACAAGTGAACATCCGCAAGCGCCAAGATTTCAGACAGCAAGACAAAAGAGAAAAGCCCCAAGAACCGAGAAGACCGAAGCAACTTCAGTCGCAAGTCTTTGACGGGGGGACGAGTGTGGTGAAAGATGGTCGCTAGCCAAATTGGTTGACAGTAATTGAGGTCAAAGGTCAAGGTTGTCAGGCGGATACAGTTAACATGTAGTTGAACTGACACAGCCACAAGATATGCAAGGTTAACCTTGCGAGAGAAACAACCAATCAACAGGCTGTATTTTCTACTAACATTGACCTACAATAATGTACATAAAAATCTATAAATACGTGTTGATTTTCCTAAATAAACGATCTGTTGCCTGGCCCTTGTCTTCTGTTGTTACAGTAGTATTTTCTTGGAAACATACCTCAAGGAACATTTTATTGGGAATTTCCTTAGGAAATTAAACTACTTCTCCATGACAACAGGACTACATATGCGCGGAATGCGAGTGACAGATGATCGGATAAGGTTTCGTTTTCAATCAGTGGATGCCAAGCTGTAGACATTTTTCCAAAGCGTCTTTACCAGAAAGGACTATTTCACCTGTACTTCCCCCACATCCTCTATATTTCCATCACATTTATCGATCTATGGGATAGAATGGCACATGGGTCAAGACTGAATCAATACATAATCATTCATCTTTGAAATCAGCATCCTTTTGCCGAGGTTTTTTCTCCTGGCCTTCTTATAATTATAGCGGCAGCCCGCATTTTTACAAAGTAACTAGAACATTTTGTCCCCCATGATATTTTTAATTGTGGTGGACTGGATTATTCGGAAGAAAATTGTGTGGAGCGAGGAGACAGGAATACGTTAGACTGCAAAGAGGGTTCTAGGAGAACTGAATTTCGCGCATGGACGATCTATTTTCTAGTGTCACACAAACTCGAAGACTTGCAGGCGAAAACGAACAAATCGGTAGAAGAAGCAAGCAGCGAACACAGGACTCCAGGTGAACGTGGAGAAGACGGAGGTGACGAAAGCCAGCACCAATCGCTATCAATGGGAGTGATCTGACAGGGGTCACTTCCTTCACTTATCCGACCAGGAGGCACCGTTTTGACCACAGGCAGTCGGAGAGCATGGATGAAGATGTCAAAGCCAGCCTGCCAGCCGGATCGGAAAGGCAAGATATGCACGCCTTCATCATCCTGAAACCAGTTCGGAAATCTCCTGCGCTGCACTCTACCGGTATAAAGAACAAGATTCGGATTTTCAACACAAATATGAAGTCGGTCCGTAAGTCAGTTCTTCTATACGGGTTAGAAACTTTCACTACGTGTGCGTCACGAAGACTTTTATCAACAGTTACCCCCTTCGCTGGCTCCATACTGAAGATCAAATGACTAGAAAGAATCAGCAAGAAAAAACTCTGACTGAGAACAAACCAACAAGGAGAGCCGATCGCTCAACAAATATTGAGGAGAAAATGGAAATGGATCGATGAGGCATATGTTGAGGAGACCGGCGAATGACATCGTACACAATTCAGGCCATCACTCGAGTGGAATCCGGAAGGGAAACGGCGAGTGCGTAGTCGGTGTGGGTGAGGGCGACGTGGAGAAGATGGTGTGAGGAGGAGGGGGAGATGAGAGATTATGGGCAATTGCGGACACAGCTGAAGAGGACAGCAGAAAATAGAAGGAGGTGAAGTTGTGTTGCTGAAGTCGTATGTTCCACTTGGAACCTAATGGATTAATAATAATAATGACTAGAACGTTAGTTATTTTAGTCAGTAGTTCCTTATCACTGTTATTAAGCACTTCTAGAGTGGTTGGTCTACAAAAAGGGGCCTTTTAAAAACGAGGATTGCAATAACAACATGATAGCCATACTAAACTCTTGATGCTTGATAGTTGGCTGAAGTTAATCTAGAGAAAATTGCATTTTCCAGTACTCAGCAGAGAACTCTGTTTATAACTTTGCAGGAACAAATACTGACACAAACCTGTTGTTGAGTGGTATTCAAGTCTATAAGAAACAATATAAGGTGGTTATATAGCTTATGGGGCCAGGTATACGTGAATGACGGATAAACACAGTTAAAGGCACACCAAGCTCAGTTGTAATGAGGCTGAGACGATAATCTATACGATAGCTATTCGTAAGTAACATTCACTACAAATCAAGATTTTAAGGTCATATATAGAATAATTCATAGGATGGATAGAACTTGAAAAAGGGTGTGCAATTATAAGATTAGTAGACAAATCGAATAAAATAAAAACGTTACGTAATATTGTGTGAAATTTAATAGCATAGAATTTAATGTTGCATAAAGGAATTGATTTAGAATGACAAGTGGAACAAGTGAAATAATACCGGGGACAGTTAGAAGTGAGAGTAGTAATAGTAACAATTGACGTAATAAGGCAAGAGTATACAAATTGAATAGACAAAATGAAAAATGAAAAATTGGTGGAGCTAAAATATGATTGGGGATTACCATACTTTAGCATAGAGGGATTAAGACCATGAAAGTTGGAGGGGTTGAACGAACTTTTTCTGTACACAGAGATCTGGCTTTTCTGTTTCGATAGCCAAAGATGGCTTCAGCAATACAGATGAGTCGGGTACGTAGGGATTTGGGTAAATTAATCTTTGCCTTGTAGATGACTTTAAAGGCGGAGGCTATAGAGATAGGGTGATCATTATCGACCAAATGTTCAATGATCGCGCTTCTTATTGCTCCACTTCCACCTTTTCGTAACCAGGCAGGATAGTGTTCTTTCATCCTCTTGGACAAAACTCGAGTCGAACGACCGATATACCTAGCTCCACACGAGCAGGTGAATTGATAAACACACATAGAGTTGGTCAACAGCGGGATCTTGTCCTTCAGATTATTGAACAGTAATGGTTGACTAGTAAAGGCTATTCTCAGAGATGCAGCAGGGAATGTTCTTCTCAGGGACTGTGATATCCTTCGTTTCATGATATCGGAAGCTAAGTCCCCTTTGAATTCCAAGCTCATGTAAAGTATTTTCTTGGGTACGGTTGATAAGTCACATTAAATTCTATGCTGTTAAATTTCACACAATATCGCGTAACTTGCAAATCAGGATTTCACCGTAATCAGGTTTGATTTCATCGTGTTAAGTGCTAAAGTGTTTTAAGATGGCCAATATTTGTTTAACTAACACGTCTAGGTGTGATAAAATTCATTTAATTAAATAAACACGTTATGTACTTCTTGTTTTTTTCCCCTACTAAAGGCTGCTTTAGTTCCTACAGTGGAAGTTGTCCGACTGCGTTTCTTCTTAGATTTACTCATTGAAGCTGGACATCCTGTTATGTTGGTTGGTTCAGCTGGTACTGGCAAGTCTGTTATACTACAGGATAAATTTTCAAGTTTATCTGAAGAATATCTAGTGAAGAGTATACCGTTCAATTTTTATACAACAAGTTTAATGCTACAAGAAGTGTTGGATAAAAGTTTAGAGAAAAAAGCTGGTATGAATTATGGTCCACCAGGACAGCATAGACTACTCTATTTTATTGATGATTTAAATATGCCAGAGGTGAGTTTTCTTCTCAGTGTGTAAGCACTTTTGTAAAGGGTATTGAATGTCAATACACTGGGGTCGATTATTAGTGAATGTAAATTACACAGTAGGTTGTAAGAATTTGAGCAAAGCAAGAACTACAATTTTAGCGGAATAAAATGCTACCATTTTTTTTATTTCGTTGCCTTCTCGTCAGCTGCTTACATGGCAAAGACGTTATTAAATGTTACCTCCAACTGTGTCTACCAATTTACATGTACGTGCCAAAGCACATACATCGGAAGAACAGAGAGAAGGGTTATTGTCCGCATTTCTGAACACATACCAAAGAACCGGAGACTGAAAGGTCCACAAGTATTAAACAGTGCAATTGCGCGTCATCTATTAGACACTGGTCATAATGTAGACAACTTGAAGTCATTCAAAATAATCAACAAGCAAAAGGAACTTAACTTGCTACGCTTTGCTGAAGTAATTGCTATCAAACGACTTAAACCAAATCAATGTAGGCAGAAAGAGACAGTGGTGAATCTTGCACTGCCCTGGTGACAACAAAACAAAAATATACAACAGCTTGTTTTTGTTTCCAAGCCTAATTGCCTAATTATTCTATAAATATTTATAAACTGTCAAATATTGATCACAGTTCATTTGAATTATTCTATAAATAGTCAGTGTTTGTAACTCTTAATTAGTTAAATCATTCCGGACTAATGTTACTTTTACTTCCTACCATTTACTCCTTGTGGTCGTGGAAAATTATGTTCAAATCTTTAATGTAATGTATTTTTTTCCTTCACGTTCCCCAATGGAACATAGGGCTTCAGGCTAGTGGCTTGAAGTTTCTGTAGCAGTGTTTATTTTACAGGATGGGGTTGCTAGCCTCATGCCCAACCTTTACTCTTCACCAGCTTTATTTCTGGCTTAGCGAGGTAAAGGAGTGCGTCGGCCGGTGGTCGAACCCCGGACCATGTGCATGGTCAGCGAGCGTCCTAACCGCTATGCCACCGACGTTCGTTGTGACGTTGTAACCAGTTGAGAAGAATCCTCGAAATAATAAAAGATGAGCTCATATTATCCTGGTACAATTGTTGTTCTTGCTTTGTTCAAGATTATTAAATGTATCTACAAAAACAATTTTAGCATACTTGCACAGAGTTCATTTTAAACAAAAATCAACCGATCAATATGCGCATACACAAATAATATATATATATATGCAATATTAAACACTATTCCGAACAATAATAATCATACACAATGGAAACTTTTCAGGATTTCGCATTCAGATGAAAGAGAGATGAAAAATATCCAGTTACCAGGTTGGCAAAGAAAGACTGATAACCGCTTCTTTCTGGATGCATAAATCAGATTTCAGACGCTTAGTGGAAATGGCTCTTTTGCCTATTGATAATTTTGAACGACTTTTTGACTTTTTCCATCTCATGACTCGTATCTAGGAGATGCCTGGCGATGGCACTGTTTAAAGCATTTGTTCCCTTTAAACATAAGCTTTTTGGTACATGTTCAGAAAATCGTAGATTTGCACTTCTTTCTGTCCTTCCAATGTAACTGCTCCTGCAGTGACATGTAAATTTGTATATACAGTTGGAGTTGTTAACATGAGAAGGATATCTATCGATTTTTGATTGCATCAAAGAGCAAGTTGTTCAACAGATGAGGGGATGAGCTTAGCTGCAGGATAGGCTATGGCTAGTAATGCACTCAGCCTCCTGTTTATCATCGCTGCAATGTTTTCACTCTTATAATCAAGCTGAAAGTAGATTGGCTTCTTTCCTACTGTGATTTGTTTTACATTTGTGACTTGAGATCTTCCATACTTGTTGATGAACCTTTGAGTGTACCCATTGCTCTTCAATATCTTTTCAAGAAGCTCAAATTCTTCCTCTAATTTCTCTATAGATCAAATTCTCCTCGCTCTATAGTACAGAGTCTTGACTAGACCACGTTTAAAGCTATTTGGACAAAAGCTATTAAAATGTAAGTATTGTCCTTTCCATGTGGGCTTTCGATAAATTGACTTTTGAAGACTACCGTCTTCTAGGCGTTCCATGGCGATGTCGAGGAAGTTGTAAGAAGACAGAAAAAATGAAGTAGATCGATCTTCTACTAAATTTCTAGATATGTTGGTAAACATGAAGTCAAGGAACAAGGTTTTGTAATAAACTGTCTTAGATAACTAGGAATGTGACTACAGACATCTATCTCATTGAAGTTGAGAACAACAACTATATACCTTTTATTTGTTTGTTATCCGGTCATCCAGTTGAATATTGAATATGATGCCTTAGGTTACGCCGATTGTTATTTGGTTGATTCTGACTAACAGTTAAATTTAGACCGTATGTTTTATCCGATTAGGGACCCATCATATGAACCTAAATGCATTGTCAAAGCATCTTTACTAGAAGGCCATATATAAAACACAAAATAATTGAGCAAAGAATATCCGTTGCGATAATTTCCTCTTCTGGCTGTACAATTATATATATTTAGAAAACAGAAAGGTTGAGCAAAGAAATATTTACTTTTTAATTAGATCCTCATCTCTGTCTGGCTCTACTCTAATATATATATATATATATATATATATATATATATATAGCATTTTTAATACAATACACAACAATCTACCAATCAAGTGGCACTGATATGTTTGTTGACAATAATTAGTCAGTGTCAAAATGTCAATTGGTTGATAATTAACGAAGAAAAATGCAACAAATAATTTTAAATGCAGTATTAACGTCAACCTTATGTTCACTATCTACAAGGTGCGCTACAATAGAGCTACGAACAGATCTTGTTTTCCTTTGCTGCTTAACCATGTTGGATGATGTTCGGAAATACGATGATGAACCTGCCTAATTGTACGTCCAATGTAGCTGGCTCCGCAGCTGCAGTCAATCTGGTAGATACACATAGAAGAGGCAAATTTAGGTAGTTTATCCTTATTTCTCGAACATAGAATAGGGGTGGTTGTGAAGAGCCCAGACTGACCTAGGTTTCGTGCTAGATGGCACTCACCAGTCAGCAAGGCGTATCTGTAACCATCTTGAAGAAACTCATGTCCTTCCTTCTGAGATTCGAGCCCGCATTACCCAGTGCTTCAGTCAGGGACGTTACCACTGGGCAATTCAGGCCTCCTGACTGCAGTACTGAGCGATGCTGGTTTGAATTCTCAGGAGGAGGAATATGAGTTCCTTCAAGATGGTTGCAGATACGCCTTGCTGGCTAGTGATGTGGTGAGAGCTGGCTGCCAGCGAAAATTGGTAGACAGTAATTTACGTCAGTGTTTACGTCCCGAATATTGGTCATGAGAAAAAAACAAGAACAAAGACTGACTCAACAACCGATCACAGCAGACTTTGCTTGCGTATGAGGATACAATTTGCAAATAGATAAACTAGACTTCAAGAAACGGCCACAAAGAGATGAAAGATTAACGTTCAACGAGAAACAACCAATCAGAAGACTGTGTTTATTTGCTTACAATAATCTATAATAATGTACATGAAAATCTATAAATATGTGTTGATTTCCTAAATAAACGATCTGTTGCCTGGCCCTTGTCTTCTGTTGGTACAATGAGTGTTATCTAGTACGAAATTTAGGTCAGTCGAGGCTTCCTGCTGATTGTCTCCAACCATCTTATATCAGCTGGCAAATGCTCCTTGGTTTCTAGTGATCCTTTAACCAATATGTCAGCTCGCCATTCAACTTGAAATCCTTTTTTATTATTTTTGTAAAGATAAGAGAGTACCAACCGCGCTTTTTTTAAAAAAAAACTTTTTGTGTTTATATCACACTTTAGGTTGATCAATATTTCACTGTTCAACCGCATACTCTCATTCGTCAACACATAGATCATAAACATTTTTATGACAGACAAAAGTTAACCTTGAAAAAAGTGAGTAAAACTCAATATGTAGCTGCTATGAATCCAACAGCTGGTAGTTTTACAATCACACCACGACTACAACGTCATTTTTCAGTATTCGCACTGAGTTTTCCTGATGAGAATGCTGTGAAAACAATCTATTCAACAATACTGAAGCAACATTATATACGCAATAATTTTCCAACGTCAGTAATACGTGCTGTTGAGGGTCTAGTTGAAGCGTGTATGATTGCTCACGACAAGATATCAGCGGTATTCTTGCCAACAGCTATACGCTTTCATTATTTGTTTAATTTACGTGATTTAACGAATATATTTCAGGTAAGTGTGGAAATTAAAAATACCAAGATTTTCATACAATTGGTTCCCTTGATAAATTTCGATAAAGAAAGGAAGACGAAATTTGCAGTATATAATGACATCATTCCATTTCAAAGGTTCTCATCAGCTAACTGCAGACTACCTGAAATTACAATGGTTATATAAATGATAATAACATGCTTTAATGTTTGAGTAGTAGCAGAGAAGAGATAAAATTGACGCAACCAAAAAAGAATGAGAGCATTACAATTTTTAGTTTAAGTTATCATCATCAATTTATACACTTTTAAAGTTGAAAAGAGGGGTGGGGCAGGGGTAAGACAGAAAACAGAAAAAAATAACTTACAAACAGTGTTAGCCTGTAGGTTCACATAGCAACTCCAAAAAACAAAGGCGGTTACAGTTTATGAGATTAGGATTTGTTCAGTGAGTTGAGATCACTGAATTAGATGACTAATTAATGTAATCAAAATCGAAATTCAGTTACCAAGGGAGTGAGAGGTTAATCACACTCTCTGTCTGTATGCATAAGTCTGGTTGGTTCAAATCGTTTGATTGCGATCGCTTCGGCAAATCGTAGTAAATTTGTTGTCCTTTGTCTATTTAATATTTTGAAGGACTTAGGAATCTCTACGAGATGTCCGGTATCAACAATGTGTCTAGTAATTGCACTCTGAGAATATTTGCTTCCTTTCAGGCACAAGTTTCTTGGAATATGTTCAGAAAACCGGATAGAAGCCCTTCTTTCTGTCCTTCCAATGTACTTGCTCCCGCAAGTGCACATAAATTCATAAATGCAGTTGGAGGTGACATCAGCAGGGTATTTGTCCAGTTTTGAGTGGATTATAGAAGGAGTGGTGTTGTGTACTGTTATGAGTTTTGCTGCCGGGATTTTGATTTTGATCACAATAATTAGTCATCTAATTCAGTGATCTCAACTCACTGAACAAATCTTAATCTCATAAACTGTAACCGCCTTTCGAGTTGCTATGTGAACCTACAGGCTAACACTGTTCTGTTAATCATATTTTTCTGTTTTCTGTCTTACCCCTCCACCCTCTTTTCAACTTTAAAAGTGAATAAAATGATGATGATAACTTAAACTAAAAAATTGTAATGCTCTCATTCGGTTTTTGGATGCGTCAATTTTATCTCTTCTCTACTACTACTACTCAAACATTAAAGCATGTTATTATCATTTATATAACCATTGTAATTTCAGGTAGTCTGCAGTTAGCTGATGAGAACCTATGAAATAGAATGATATCATTTTCCACTGCAAATTTCCTCTTCCTTTCTTTATCCAAATCAAGATTATTGGCGAAAAGCTTAACTCATCAACTTTCTCAATTATTTTAATTGATTTTCAAGTGTTGGTTTGTAGGGATTTGATTGGTTACAGGATTTCATCATGAGCTGACATCAGTTAGAGAACCATTGGAAAACCTGGGAGTACTGGACAGCTGTTTCGTCCTAGTTTGGGACTCTTCAGCAGTACGCACCCATCGGGATTCGAACCCAGGACCGTCTGGTTACAAGGCGAGCTCGTATACCATTAAGCCACTGGGACCCGATCCAATGGTCCATGAATTCTAACTTCTGCCAATTCACGACATACCGCGACCCCTAGCCAATGTCTTCGGCGAGTATTTGTCCTCACGCCCAGTGGGAAGTCGTGGCCAGTAGGGTGCAGCAGGTGGGGTGTGAGGACAAATACTCGCCGAAGACATTGGTTAACGTTGCGCTATATCGTGAGTTGGCAGAAGTTAGAATTCATGGACCATTGGATCGTGTCCCAGTGGCTTAATGGTATACGAGCTCGCCTTGTAACCAGACGGTCCTGGGTTCGAATCCCGGTGGGTGCGTACTGCTGAAGAGTCCCAAACTAGGACGAAACAGTTGTCCAGTACTCCCAGGTTTTCCAATGGTTCTCTAACTGATGTCAGCTCATGATGAAATCCTGTAACCAATCAAATCCCTACAAACCAACACTTGAAAATCAATGAGATGCTCACTAGCGACTTGCCCTATTCAGGTGGGTAGTCACCTGGGGTTCTAGTGAGAAGTCGTGACCAGTAGGGTGCAGCAGGTCGGGCGTGAGGACAAATACTCGCCGAAGACATTGGCTAGGGGTCGCGCTATGTCGTGAATTGGCAGAAGTTAGAATTCATGGACCATTGGATCGGGTCCCAGTGGCTTAATGGTATTTTAATTGAATTTTAGGTTTTTCCCGTCGACTGATTGGACCGATGTGCTCGGTCTTAGGTTGACATGTCTGTCAGCTTCTTGTACAGATGCTTCGACAATGTCCGGGCATTTAATTAGTATTTAATTGGTGGATGTTGACTAGCAGTTGAATCCAGCAAGGGTGCGCATTTCGTCCTATTTGGGACTCGTCAGCCAGTGGATGTACCTGCATTTCTCGGTGAATGATGATGTTCCCACCACTGAGGCTGGAACCCAAGAGGTGGCTCTCTTGTGACCCAATTGGTCTAGTGGATAATGCTTTGGTGTTCGAAACTATGGGTACTGGGTTCGAGCCTCGGTGGGAACATCATCACTCACTGGGAAATGAAGGTACATCCACTGGCTGACGAGTTCCAAATAGGACGAAATGCGCATCCTGGATTTTACCGCTGCTAGTCGGGATCCACCAATTGAATACTAATTTCTCAATTATTGTTTTTTTCATGAGAGTTAGAAATTTCACAAATTGATGCTAGTGTTCACATTTCTGGTTGTTTAGTTTAATAGTTTACTTGAACATTTGAGTAGTCATTCCTTTTTCCTTCTAATTTGGAATATATGAGCTGCATTCATCTTGGTTTCTGTATAGGGACTGGAGTAAGACATCCAAACCTTAAGACTTAGGGAAAGTTAAGTTACCAAAGATAATTTTATTTTCAAGTGTTGGTTTGTAGAGATCTGGTCGATTGGTTACAGGATTTCCTCATCAGCTGACATTGGTTAGAGAACCATTAGAAGACCAGCTGGGAGTACCGCCAGAAAGCTGTTTCGTCAGCCTAGTTTGGGACTCTTCAGCAGTGCGCACCCACAACACAGGTTAGAACTCAGGACCTTCTGGTTACAAGGCGAGCTAGCTCGTAGAGCATTAAGCCACTGGGACCCGATGCAATGGCCAGTGCATGAATTATAACTTCTCTCAAATACTCGCCGAAGACATTGGCTAGTGGTCACGCTAGAACGTGAATCGGCAGAAGTTAGAATTCATGCACTGGCTGGCCATTGGACCGGGTCCCAATGGCTTAATGGTCTACGAGCTCGCCTTGAAATCAGAAGGTCCTGGGTTGGAACTTTGGTGGATGCCTACTGATGAAGAGTCCCAAACAAGGCTGACGAAACAGCTGTCCAGTACTCCCAGCGGGTTTTCCAGTGGTTCTCTAACCAATGTCAGCTCATTATAATTCTATTTTATTACTTTACTTTCCGAGTAGAACATAAGGCCTCAAATTAAAGCTTCAAATTTTATGTGGCAGTTTTTTTCATTTTTACGGGATGACGTAACAAGCCTCTTACCCAACCTTCCCTCTCTACCAGCCTTACTTTCGGCTTAGAGAGGTTTAGGAGTGCGTCAGTGGCCGGGGATCGAAGTCTGAACCACATGCGCTATTATCGAGTATTATACGGCTTAACCACCGACGCCCTGCATCTGTATATATATATATATATATATATATATATAGGACAGATGTTTCGTCCTAGTTGACCACTCTTCAACAGTACACACAGACTGAGGTTCGAATCTAGGACCTTTTGGTTACAAGTTATTATGGAGTCGTCGCCAATATGTTGTGGTTTGACCGAGTGTAAATATGCGCTGATGAGATATAACGGACGATAACGTACAGACTGGTACTGCTTAGCGGTTGATTTGTCTTGACGCGAAGAGGAATATCAGAAGACCACCACGTTCACGAAGATATGTGTATTTTCCAACAAGTTCGGGACTCTTCATCTGTACGCACCCATAACACGAGTTTGAACCCAGGACCTTCTAGTTACAAGGCGAGCTAGCTCGTAAACCGTTCAGCCACTGGGACCCTGAGTCACAAACTAGGATGAAACAGCTGTTCAGTACTCCCAGGTTTTCCAGTGATTCCCTAACTGGTGTCAAGTCCTTAACAAACCGGTAACCAAGCAAATCCTTGCAAATCAACATTTGATATATATATATATATATATAGTCCAGAGATTTGGCGCTGGCATCCCCAGTAGCATTTCCAACAGGTTACCACCGACTTTTATCATCAATCGCTTCCCTCGGTTTTTCTTTCACTTTCCAAGTGGAAAAATACAGATTCATACTTAATCTGTGAAGTTTCAGTAGCAGTGGTTTCATTTTAACAAGATGGGATTTCTAGGCTCACGCCTATCCTCCTCTTTTTACTTGGTTTACCACGGGTGGTGGTGGTGGTCAAACCAAAACATGGCTGCAGCAGTCAATGAAATCTACAACAGTTAGTTTAAGCCACGTAGGAAGGTGTAGACTTCCTGATTGGTTGGGGTCCTCGGGATGGTAAAAACCAATGGTTGGAAACAATTGGTGATATGGCTCAAAATCGTTCTCAATGGCTGGCGCAGATGCATCCACTCCTTGTGGCTTATAATTTCCAATTAAACTGTTTTGTTCTTCGTTATTACTATACCTTTGTCTCACACCTCTGTTTACTGTCTATATTTTGCATTCCATTTTACTTTCTTCTCTTGCATTGTGTGCTACATAGCGTGTGGCGACTTGAACTGCTGCACATCGATGCAAAGTTCTATGTCGAAAACAGAGAGACAGACAGATCAATTTGGCTAGCAGCCTGCTCTCACCACAATATCACTAATAATAAGTCCGGATAGTATAAATGAGAAATTCCATAGTATTGAGAGAATGTTTGCATGAAGGGCATAAATTATGACGAATAATAATAATAACTGTAATAATAATATTTGTAATAATAAGCAAAGGAAAATAAAACCAAGAGGGTTAAGGGGAAGGAGCACTCTTGGTGAGAAGAAGAATCATCATCAATCCAAGTTTGGCCACGGCTTACAAAGAAGACTGTCCGTCCTGACAAACAGACAAATTCTATAATATATAGTTGTTCCACCTAATTATTTTTATTGATAATTTTGTTTTTATAACTGTTATTATTATTATTCTCCTTCTCATAGTGTCTTCTATTTGCTCAACCTGATGTATTCCCATCTGTCATCTCTGTTATCCGACAATATCGTCATGAGGCAATCCGTGTTTACACAGACAAAATGATTGATATGAATGATGTTGAAACAGCTGTGAAACATATCACATTCGGCATAACGAATCAATTCCCTGATATATCAGTGCATCAGATAACACATGAACCTCTGTTATATTGTAGTTTCAATAAAGGATTATCCGCTGAGCGACAATATGGACCTGTATCATCTCTGGAAGAAATTAGTGACATAGTTGTTGGTGCATTGAATAATTACAATGATACATTTGCTGTTATGAATTTAGTGTTGTTCAGTGATGCTGTTATCCATGTGTTAAGAATTTGTCGAATATTGGAAATGCCACGGGGTAGTGCTTTACTCATTGGGATAGGTGGTTCTGGGAAACAATCCCTGTCACGTTTAGCGGCATTTATCTCAGGATTTTATTTATCACAAATAGTGCTGCGTAAAGGTTATTCACAGAATGATTTAAGAGGGCATCTTGCTCAATTGTATATTAAAGCATCGTTGAAGAATATGCCGTATGTGTTTTTAATGACTGATGCACAGGTAGGTGGAATTTTTGCATTTTCAGTAATGCATAAAGTGTTTCTTTTGTATTGCTTTGCGAGCCGATCTAAAGAATAGCGACCGTGATGTGGGAAGGCACACCAATGATTTCGAACGCATGTCGTACGTTGGATTATAGAATCTGCAGCGTTATTACAGCACCAGTGTGAACGTCGGGCACGAACTGAGGTGTGATTTCATACCAATCTCGTTTTTAAGTTAGAATTAGTAGTAGGGTGTTTTAATATTATTAGGCGTGTTTGTCGTTGGATTTCCTAACATCACCGTGCATGGTTGGTTAAGTAAAGGACAAACAAAATCTATTCGTAGCGCTATTCTATCTCATCTTGTGGATACACAAGATTGATGTTTGCAAGCTGGCTTTCAAAGTTATTTACCGGATACTAACAAATCTCAATTTCGCCTTAAGAGTTCGATCACTAGATATTTCTGAGGTCGTTGGGATCCATATTAAGAAGCCTAATTTGTGAGTCGAAAAGAAGTTAGTTCAGATATTATCCTTACCTTGACCATCTAGGTTTGAGTGATCCTGAATGTCTGTGGAATTCTCCTAGTTTTAGTTGACATTCCATTTTCAAAAGAATGGATACTCAACAAAGAATACTCTTTTCGATAACTTCATCATCAGGCTCTACAGTTATATATACATTATAGTGAATGAATGAATTAGTGTTATGAACAACAATAATGTTGTTTAAATAACATCAAATCAATAATATTGATAAATTACAGCTCAATAGCATCAACATAAAATAAGCTGAATGTCAGAAAAAACATTAGGAAAAATAATATTACAAATTCATGAGTTTATAGTCTCTACTGAAGGCCTGCCAGGGCAGTAGTAGTGGCTGGCTGGACTTGTTTCTTTTGAACACAGAGCACTGGTTGTTTGAGGCGAATTGCAATAGTCTGTCTGCTGTTTGCAGCATGTGGTGCTTCGATGATTTTGGCAATTTACTAGGCACCCGGTAAATGATATAGAAGGATTCTTCAACGCTGGCTGGCTGGCTTTGTGGTTGATGTGCACCAGATGGTCCAATATCGAACGGTTAATGGTTTTAACTACACCTTTACTTAGCCATAGTGGGATATGTTCTCGAGCACGAAAAATCAAGTTCCTAGAACAACGGCCAATGTAACTGGCTCCACAAGCGAAGTTTAACTGGTAGATACAATTAGAAGTGATTAGCTAGTCTAGGTATTTCATCTTTCAGTCGAGATGGCACCATCGGTCGTATGGACAATAATACCTGTAGTTCGCCAGCATTAAAAGTTCTTTGAACTGATTTTCTTAATTTCCTCCTAATTATCTCACTTGGTATATCGCCCTTGAATTGTAGTCGTACATAAAGTGGCTTCTTGTTTACAGATAGTGAGTAGTCCTTTTCCGCCACTTTCTTTGTCATGTGTTTCTTGATAAATTTTTCGGGATAGCTATTTTCGATCAAAGCATCATTTACGATGCTTAATTCATCTTCAATTACTTCTTCTGAGCATATAGCTCTAACGCTGTGTGGCTGAGGGTCTTCACTAAATTTCTTTTCTACTTGAGAGGGACGAAGCTGCGAAAATGTGTATATTGTCCTGTCCAAGTACATTTTCTATGCAAATTTCTCTTTATGCTACCATCTGGCTTTCTTGTAAGTAGGACATCCAGGAAGGCAATTCTCTCTTGGGATTCCTCTTCGCATGTGAATTTCATAGCCGAATGTACTTTATTGAATTCAGTAATTATTGTATTCCTATGAGAACCATTATCACAAAAAACTTATTATTTTTTATTTATTTATTTATTTATTATAGCTTGATTCCACACCGTATTTTTGGTGCAAGTATGGAATTTTCAGCATGTGATATCGGTAGCCCAATTTTGCAGGCCAACCATAGATATCGGGTGTGCGCCGGCAGGGGATCGAACCCCGGACCATGTGCATGGTCGGCGAGAGTCCTAACCACTGTGCCACCGAAGGTATCATCCATATATCGGCAATAAAATGAGAGCCTACTGATATGGTTGTTCAAAGGTCCGTAAATCGATATTATTTAAAAAACGCTAATATTGTAATTGACTACTAATCTAGAATATTCGATGTATATAAACATGTGTATATAATTGTAGAGCCAAAAGAAGAAATTGTTGCAACGGATATTCTTTGCTCAACTATTTTGTGTATTTTTCGTGTAAATAAATAAAATGAGAGGGGTGGGTGTTTCGTTGTTGACATAGATGAAACCATTTTGTTGGCTATGAAACTTGAAAACTGATACCCTTCAGCGTTAAATCATAGCAAAATGTCGTCTTTAATGTGTTTCATTATTACTATTATTATGTTAACTTTTCTCGTGGATAGACGGCTTTTTCATGTAGAGTACACGGTAGGTTCTGTAATCTAATGAAAGACATGCGTTCAAAGTCAACGGTGCTTCTGCACTCCATTGTCGTTATTCTTTATGTTTCCTCCCCCTTTTGCATTCCGAGTGGAACATACGGCTACAAGCTATGAAGTTCCAGTAGCGATTCTTTTCATTTTACGGGGTGGAATCATTAGCTTTACGCCCAACCTTCCTTCTGTCAGATCTAGAACTGTATTGGTTACCGGGAATCGAATCCATACCCCCTAGTTGGCTAGCAAGCATTCTAACTAATGATAAACAGATATGACCATGATGTTGTTGAATAAACTCGTTAACAGATAAAGACAAAGGCGATTGGTGTTCTTCTTTCTATGTATTTTAAAGTTTACTTAGCTGCTGGGCTGATATTGTGAGGTAGCTTTGCTAGCCATCTCCCTTAATCTGCCCCCTTTTTCTGACCTTTGGACTAGATAGTAAACTAGGCTAGGTTGATATGAATGTTAAGTGAACTTTTTTATGTAAAGGTTTAAGTGGTTAGATGAAGTTTGATATAAATATCTAGTATGCAACGATAAAGGTGCCTCCGTGGCACAGCGATAGAATGCTAGTCTACCACGCATGTGCTTAGGGGTTCGATACCCGGCCACCGACGCCCTCCTTTACCTAGCTAAGCCAGTAGTAAGACTGGTAAAGAGGGAAGGTTGGGCATGAGGCTAGCAACCTCATCCTGTAAAAATAATCACCACTGCTTCAGAAACTTCAAGCTACGAGCTTGAAGCCCTATGTCCCACCGGGAACGTAGCGGGATGAAACAAATGTAACAATAGAAACCAATTTGTTGTAGTATGAACGCATCCTGCTCTTTGGCTGTCCTAAAATTCCTTTAGACATGCACAGTCATAAAATGTTCGAAAGACAGTAAAAAGACGGTTATTCTTAGTTACATCTGTGTGTGGTTCTATTCAACAATGATAACATAGAGAACCCAAAATGACCTCAACAATGCCGTTAGGTAACCATACGGTCAAGAGAACATTCTAAGTACAAAACAAGTACTGTAGAACAAAATTAGTTAACCAGAATTCAACCGTAAGAAGTAGCTTCGAACCAAGTAGAATATTTTGATTGAATTTTAGATTTTCCTGTCGACTGATTGGACCGAAGTGCTTGGTCTCAGGTTGACATGTCTGTCGGCTTCTTGTGCAGATGCTTCGACGATGTGTGGGCATTTAATCAGAATTTAATTGGTGGATGGGTGGTAGGAGTGGTACCCAGGATGCGTATTTCGTCCTATTTGGTCTAGCGGATAACGCTTTAGCGTTTGAAACTAAGGGCACTTGGTTCGAGCCTCGATGGGAACATCATCACTCACTGGGAAATGCACGTACATCCACCGGCCGATGAGTCCCAAATAGGACGAAATGCGCATCCTGGTGGATTCCACTGCTAGTCACCATCCATCAATTAAATTCCAAGTAGAATATTTCCGAGTAAGTGGGATCAAAAACTCTGTCCACGAGAATCACACAGCCACACTTCCTCGAAGCAATCCAAGATTGCAGTGACCTTGATTCACTCAAACAAAATCGCTTTTTCGTAAAACACCACATTATGTATCAATATGCAAATGTCAGAAGAATGATATACAGTCTAGGATAAAAACAGAGAATAATTACAAAGTTATTCGAAACATAGAAATAAGTTTAAATGTTATAGTGAGATCGTTGAGGAGGGATTTTCTAAATAACTATTCTGATACACAGTGTGCTTCCTCTGCATACCTGTGCAAACTATGCTTCCCCTTAAGCGGAAGCCGAACAGGAAGCAGCGAGTTGGACGTGGGTCCGACGGCGGCATGAAGAAGATCTTATAAAGAGGAGAAAGAAAACTTATTGAAAGTCATGGAGGCGGGTGGAAATAATGTCACAGTGTACAGTAGAGATGTATCATTGAATCCCTATGCTCCATTTCGTAATATTCAAAGTCCATTCAGGTGAATACTCGATTTTTCTAAATACTCATAAGTTCCAAACACCATTATACCAATGTATGCATCATCACTGTCCATGAATCTTCACATCATGTCCGAAGTGGAATATAAGGAGTAGCTGATGGTACGACAGCTTATCTTTTCTACTTGTTAACTGTGTCTATTGGAATGGAGATTTTAAAAGATGTTTTTAACCCGAGTACTTGTATTGGAAACAAAAACTCAGGATGGATTTCATAAAGTTCTCACAAGAAATTTCATTTGGTCGGCTTCGAATGACTTCAGTTTTGACGATTGCTACTTATAGACGATATGCGAATATGGCTGTCATACATCATGAGTTGGTATTAGTCGAAGAATACGGTTTACTGTGTTCTGGAAACTTGATGGAATGTTGCCTTATGTGACTTCATCAATGCGAGCTTCAATTTATCGAGGATTTTAAGTCTATAGTGCTGGAATGTCCCAAAATACTTGAAGAAAGTTTTTAAATACCCTTAAGCTTTCAATGTATTTCTGGTTGAAGTCAGCTAATCACACGTGGGAATTTCACTGAAAATGGCTGATACTTTCTCAGCTTACATCTTTTTCTGCTTTGTGCTTCCACAAACTCACCGTCATTGGTTAAAATTTTTGTGTATATAAATCTATGTAACTTAGAGTAAAGCCTGAGGAAGGTCTAAATGAAAGCAGTATTGTTCGCTTATATGTCTTGTTCTAATATCACATCAGCATTACTGTTTGATGTAAGTGTCATTCAACTACTCGTTGTGATGTATGCTACTGATAAGATCTATAAGTAGTGTATAGATACAGATATAAATATCTATGTCAGCTATAAGAATATCCAATAGCGGAGAGATTGATTCAATGTGAACGCGATGATTGTGAAACAACATGGAAAATATGAAAGGATGACAAAGAGGCACAATAGTGAAGATATCTGCAACTTGGGATTGTAATATGTTGCAGAAGTATTTCGCCCATATCTGTGCTGATAGATAATTCTGTTACCAAATCCTCTTGTCTTCTCCCGTTACATTTGGTGTCACTGTCTTTGGACAATGAAGATCTCATGGCCTGATGCTTTTTAAGGACATGTCAGGAGCTTCTTACGGAACTTATATGCTGTCGCTGAGTTGGTGGGCGTTATGGATCTAATGGCGAAGATGATTGTGCTGGGGACGCTGTCGAGAGGTCGAACAGGAGCGGCGCATGACAGTGTAGAGCGGGTAAGTGGTAAATAAACCTGGAAGGCAGATATTGGTGGAACACTTGGTAGCGGAGTTCGACGGCCCGCCGCAGCAGGGCAGTGCATCAGTTCCTTACCATGAAGCTGGAACTGGATGGAGTCCTACTTGTATTGACAGTGAAGGTAACATGTCTCTGTCGTCGTGCGCTTCCAAAACCTAATGAAGAGTCAGAGACTCAGTTGTTGGCGTTCCAGTTTATCAAAAGTGTCCTAGAATACATTGCTCAGCAACTACAACTTGTCAACGCTGCACAGCCTATGGACATCGATGGGCTCTTGAAGGTAACAATATAGATACTGAACACAGCCGTAGCCTTAAAAGAGACACCGAAATCAAACAAGTGAAAAAAGAAAAATGATGTTTCGCAGAGTGAAGCTGAGACACTACGGATGGGTGCCAGAAAAGACTGGTGCTTTGAATATGGTAAACAAAGACACGGAAAAGATAAAAATTTTAGACAGTGCAATGTGCATTCTTTCTCTCCTATAAGACTAGAAGTAGATGGGGTCACGTATTCACAAGCATCGGGTTCATTAAATCCATTTCTCCTCTATTCGATATTCATGCAGCTGACATATATTTTTATATCTGCATCTATATACTACTGATAAATCTTGTCAGTAGCACACACCATAATATCAACCAGTCAGTAGCATAAATCACCATGCATACATTTTATCTAGTCACACATTTCTTATATCAGATTAATTGGTGTAATATAAATCAATCAGAGAGTTGAATAAAGACAAATTCATCAAAATTATCCTATGTATTTTGTTAATTAGGTTGCAGATGAACGCTTTCTCGTCTATGTGAATGATTTCCTGGCCTCAGGTGAAATACCAAATCTTTTTCAAGATGAAGACCTTGATCAGATTATACAAGGTATTCGATCAGAAGTTAAAGCAATGGGAATTATTGATACAAATGAAAATTGTTGGAAATACTTCATAGATAAGACACGTAGAATGTTACGTGTAAGTTAGATGGAAATAATGTTTTGCTTATATAGTCTTATACTACTTAATAAATTATCAGTAGGCAACTGTTATATTATAATATTTATATTATTTGGTGGGCATTGCCATTCATCAATGTGAATTAAAGTATGCGCAGAAGGATCTACCTTCTACTTTCTGAAGGTGTAACAAAAAGTCAACGTCTCAGAGAAACAAATACCCTCAGTGATGCCACCGCCATACATCTTATCAATAAGAGTCATGAGGTAGACATTGATAAATCCTTTCAAAATCATCAATAGACAAAATAGTTCAATCCTCCTTAAGTTTGACCAAGCAATTTCTATCAAACGACTGGAACCCGATTTATGTTTTCAGAAAGAGGCAGTTAGCGGGCTTTTCTTGCTCTCATAACTGGATTTATTTATTCTCTCTCTTTCATTTGATTACGTAATCCTTATCTTTAACCCCTTCCTTTCTTTGATACAGTACAACTTTCTTGTTTCTTGTTTCTATGGTTTGAGTTGAACTCAGTAGGTTGTAACCCAACTTATAGGTCATTCATCTTTCTACTCACCTCCTGTCCTTATGGCGTAACCCATTTTGAATTCTACCCAAGCATTTACTTTTGTCTGAATTTGGACTTTCTGGGTATAAACTGTATAAGCGTGGTCTTCTGAGCACTGTTTATTAAGTTTTTAACCACCTAGCAGCTGGCATCACATCACCACATTTTCAAGTATGTCGTTCTGTACACCAACTAAATAACGATTTCTTTATGCTATACGCAGCTGATGAAAAACCGACGAAATAAGCAATGATAGTACCATCTTATTCAGCACCATCCTCTGTTGTTGTTGTTGCCTCATTAAAGTTTTTAAGGGATATCCCAAAGATTATCAAATCAGTCCGGCTATACATAGAGTAATTTGATGGATGGTGACTAACAGTTAAGGAATCCAGGATGCACATTTCGTCCTTCTTGGGACTCGTCAACTAGGTGTATCTACACCCCACACTGAGTGATGGTGTTCTCACTGAGAATCGAATCCAATACTCTTCGTTTTGAACACTGAAGCGTTAACCATTGGATCCACTGGGCTACGAGAGCAATGAGAGAGTTCTACATAGTTGCTTATTAAGTGAGACTCTTCGCTGCTGTTTTTTTCTTGTAAAAATGGTCACTGACAATAAATCATTACTAGTAATACTCGATGAATAACAGATCAATATGGAATCGTGTATAGAACTGCAGAAGATTAGCTCGGCACAGTTTGAAACTACTCAGTACTGTAATGGACAAACATGAATAGGACAGAATAGGCTGATATAAAGGATCAAGTAGCATGGCATTTACACCGTTTTATCATGAATAATAACTTTCACGAAAGATTCAAATGATTGGTAGCTCCTGTCAGGTATATAACGGTTGCCTCACAACACTAGACGGCCATTTAACCCATCTGGGGACTGAGATCATGGACGACATACCCTGTTAGACTAAGTCGAGATGTATTTAAATAAGGTATTTAGAAGACAAAATATCGTGAGATGACGTCATCGTTTCGTAGTTTCCCTACTTTCGTTTTGAAACTACCGTGGTTCACAGTTACTCAGTGACATGAAACAAAAGTACGAGTCATATTTAAGTAGGTCAAGTAGTTCATGGTAGGCAAGGGTTGGAGTCTACTGATTTTTGTGCATACATAGTTTGGTATGCATGCATATGATTAATCTAAAGTGCTTCCGTCACCTATAATAACCTTGAAATAACTGAGAAGCAGTCATGAATAAGTGCTTTGCTATTGGTGATGATGGATTTCTATTCAGATTAATTACATTTGAAGTTTCATAAATTTGGTTCCCTTGATAAATTTCAATAAAGAAAGGAAGACGAAATTTGCAGTATAAAATGATATCATCATTCTATTTCACAGGTTCTCATCAGCAAACTGCATACTACCTGAAATTACAATGGTTATATAGATGATAATAACATACTTTAATGTTTGAGTGGTAGTAGAGAAGACATACTATAAAATTGACGCATCCAAAATGTAAGCATTACAATTTCTTAGTTTAAGTTTTCATCATCAATTTATACGCTTTCAAAGTTGAAAAGAGGGGGGAGGGAGGGGTAAGACAGAAAACAGAAAGAATTAATTAACAGAACAGTGTTAGCTTGTAGGTTCACATAGCAACTCAAAAAACAAAAGCGATTACAATTTATGAGATTAAGATTTGTTCAGTGAGTTGAGATCACTGAATTAGATGACTAATTAATGTAATCAAAATCAAAATTCAGTTACCAAGGGAGTGAGAGGTTAATCACACTCTCTTTCTGTATGCATAAGTCTGGTTTAAATCGTTTGATTGCGATCGCTTCGGCAAATCGTAGTAAATTTGCTGTCCTTTGTCTATTTAATATTTTGAAGGACTTAGAAATCTCTACGAGATGTCCGGTATCAACAATGTGTCTGGTAATTGCACTCTGAGAATATTTGCTTCCTTTCAGGCATAGGTTTCTTGGAATATGTTCAGAAAACCAGGATAGAAGCCCTTCTTTTTGTCCTTCCAATGTACTTGCTCCCGCAAGTGCACGTAAATTCATAAACGCAGTTGGAGGTGACATCAGCAGGGTATTTATCCAGTTTTGAGTGGCTTATAGAAGAAGTGGTGATTGGTGTTGATTAATTTTTTCTGTTTTCTGTCTTACCCCTCCCCCTCCCCTCTTTTCAACTTTGAAAGCGTATAAATTGATGATGAAAACTTAAGCTAAAAATTGTAATGCTTTGATTTTGGATGCGTCATTTTTATAGTATCTCTTCTCTACTACCACTCAAACATTAAAGTATGTTATTATCATCTATATAACCATTGTAATTTCAGGTAAGGGTCTGCAGCTGATGAGAACCTTTGAAATAGAATGGATATCATTTTATACTGCAAATTTCGTCTTCCTTTCTTTATCGAGACATTTGAAGTTTCTGTGTAACTTGACAACCACTTTAGAACATGTTGTTTTCGACACTACTGGAAGATTCTATTTGTTCTACCAATATATATATATATTATATATGTATCGTCGCATCTGCAGATGAACTTTTAGATACAATATGAAGTAGAGTCTACAGAATTTCGTCCCTGAATGGTAGGTAAAGGAATCGAAAGTGTTGAAGGTGTAAGCGGAAGAGATGGGGCGTAGAATGTGCGTTTGTCAGCAGACTGAAGGCTTTGGTCTGTCAGCTGAATAGTTTGATCACCCTTGAATAGTAGGCTAATAAAGACAGATAGCTTTCTTTGGTACAGCAGCTGTCTTTTCAAGGGGTATAGTCTCTCCTTACTGTGATATCCGATGAAGTCTTCAGGAAAACCATTAGCTAATGAAACTAAATATCTCTGCCGTAGCTAGCTGATCCATTAGCCTGTCATTCATGCCCATTTTACAGGCGCTTGAAAACAGACATTTCACTATGGAACATTTATACTGGATAGGAACCAAACTGTCTGTCTGTCTGTTTTCGACATAGAACTTTGCACCGATGTGCGGCAGTTCAAGTCGCCACACTCCCTCCTTGTAGCACACAAAGCAAGAGAAGAAAGTAGGAGAAATGCATAATAATACAGACAGTAAACAGAGGTGTGAGACAAAGGAATAGTAATAACGAAGAACAAAACAGTTTCATTGGAAATCATAATTCACAAGGAGTGCATGCATCTGCACCAGCCATTGAGAACGATTTTGAGTCATGTCACCAATTGTTTCCAACCATTGGATTTTACCGTCCCGAGGGCCCCAACCAATCAGGAAGTCTACACCTTCCTACGTGGCTTAGACTAACTGTTGTAGATTTCATTGACTGGTGCCATGTTTTGGTTTGACCGCCACTAGCCCTTTTCCAGCCTGAACCTCTGTCAGCTAACATTGCCCATCGAGGAAGGCGATTACTAGGCATACGTAACACATATCCTAACCATCTCAGTCGATGTAATTTCACAGTCTCGTCGACTGATTTCCCCTCCTTACCTAACCAAACTGCTGAAATGAAGATACTGTCGCCTGTGTGTGTCTGCTTTATTCAAATCATTCATCAAATGCTCATTAGTTATTACATTGTTAAGTGTTTCAAAATACTAACGATTTCATTCTCATCCTTATTAATGTTTATTTCTCCAGGTTATTTTATGCTTCTCTCCTGTTGGTGATAAACTTCGTCTAAGAGCCAGACGTTTTCCAGCCTTAGTTAATTGTACCTGTATTGACTGGTTCCATGAATGGCCACAAGAAGCCTTGTTGTCTGTTTCAGAAAGATTCTTAGAAGATTGTCCAGGTTTATCGGTAAGTTGGATTCACAATGATTGAGTGAAACGTTTTCTTTGTTTTGTTTTTTTGGAGGGAGGGTGGTAGCGGGGATTTTAAAAGGTGAAATTATCACTGAAATAAACTGAACATTTTCAAAACTTTGAATGAAATTTTAAATATTACTGATGAGTGTAGAAAAGAATGGAATATTCCATTGGTCGAGTTATCGTGTTTTATGCTACGTTGCTGCATTGTGCAGAGTGCATGATAGTCAGTGGCGGTTGATTAGTTCATAAGGCAATCAACAAGAATCCTTCGACATAAGCTTTGTGTTTGTTGTCATTCATCAGTCAGCAAGGCTTACCTGCAGTTTCGAAGGAGTTCATGTCCCTCCTCCTGAGATTTGAACCCGTGTCACTCAGTGCTACAGTCAATCAGTCAGTCAGGGAAGTTACCACTGAGTTATTCGGGCTCACGATTGACCTCCTGTGGGGCTGTATTGGATACTCTGATTGGACATTAGTTAGTAAATAGTCTGATGTGTGTCTAAACACTCCCTGGATGAAAAAGTTCGACCGAAACAGGCTGGATTCAGGAGCAACAAGTCATGCGTCGATCAAATCACAACACTACGGATCATCATTGAACGGAGCTTGGAATGGCAGTCACCTCTTTATCTCAACTTAATTAATTTTGAAAAGGCCTTCGATAGCGCAGCATCGATCGGAAGGTGATTTGACAATTACTTCGCTACCACCTAGGGGTGTCGTCAATAATTATACATTTCATTCAACAGTTGTACGACAACGCTGCATGCCAAGTAATCCACAACGGGAAACTCACGGAATCCATCGAAGTGAAGATGAGAGTAACACAACCTGGCTGCCTACTATCTCCACTAATTTTCCTAATCGCGCTAAACTGTATAATGTGACAGACACCGGGCAGTGAGAAAAAAGGCATAAAGTGGACCCACACAAAATACTTAGAGGATATGGATTTCGCCGGTGATGATATATCTCTGATTTCCCTCAAAATGGAAAATATGCAAATGAAAAGCAACAAGTTGGCAGAAGAAGCATCAAGAGAAGGTAGGACTTCAGGTGAACATAGAGAAAACAAAGCTGATGAAGATTCCTGGCCAACACCAACAGCAGCAACAACAACAGATAGCAATCAGCATAAATGGGAGAAAACTGAAAGAAGCCGTCTCCTTCACCTACATACCGAACTGGGAAGCCACCAGCTGGGAGTACTGCCAAACAGATGTTTCACCCTAGTTTGGGAATCATCAGCAGTACGCAACCCCTGCCACGGTTCAAACCCAGCACCTCCCAGTTACAAGGCAAGGTAGCTGGTATACCATTCAGCCACTGGAACCCGATTCAATGGCCAGTGCATGAATTCTAACTTCTACCAATTCGTGATTTAGCGTGACCCCCAACCAATGTCGTCGGTGGGACATCCATCCCCACACGTGACATCTGGATGGACCTCATTGATCACGGCTTCTCACTAGAACTCCAGGAAACTCCATCCTGTAGCAAATCACTAGTGAGCATCAGATTAATTTTTTATAGTTGGTTTGTAAAGATTAGTTGGTGGTCGCGCTAAATCACGAATTGGTATGTTAGAATTCACGCAGTGACCATTGAATCGGGTCTCAGTGACTGAGTGGTATACGAGCCAGCTTGCCTTATAACCGGAAGGTCCTGGATCAGAACCGTGGTAGTGGGTGCGTACTACTGATGATTTTCCAAACTAGGATGAAACAGCTGTCTGGCAGTACTCCCTGTAGCTGGTGGTTTTCAATGGTTCTCTAACTGATATCAATCCGTGATCAACTCGTAAAAAAACAAAACTAATCCTTACAAACCAACTATAGAAAATCCATTTATTGTTATTATTATTATTGTTTTCTTGGGTTGTGGGTCGAAAATTGGATTTCAGCAGCACATTTCTACTTCTTCCCATTCTCTGCTATCTTCTTTAGCTGTTTCCATGATTGCCCATAGTCTGTCATCTTCTTTTGGACACGATCGCCTCTATGTCACCCTTGGACACGAATAGAACTAGTCGTTTCCCGTTCACGTTCCACTCCAGCAATCGCCTAGAGCGACATTTCACCCAACGGTCTCCTCAGCGTATGTACGACCCATCTTCATTTCCTGTATTTGTTCGTTCACTGAGTTTATTTTGGCCAGTTATTTCTAACATTTGTTCCTCAATATTGAGCAAAGGCAGCTGCTCACTGAAGTCTACAGCTGGCTGTTCGAAATGCTTACCATGACTCACTGCCCAAATCTCTAACTCATTGAGAAGAACTGACTTGGTAATGGTGTTAGAATTCCAAACCTTACTATTTATTCTAAATGCAGGAGATTTTCAAACTTATTCCAGAGTGAGTTATGAAGGTCTACCTTACCCTACCGATTCTCATTTTCACATCTTCATCCGTTCTGACTGTCTGTTGTTGTTGAAATGATGCTGCCTAGATTAGTGAAGGAAGCGACCTCTTCCAAATTCCTCTCACTGATAGTGCATCACATTTTTGCGTGTTTTTTTATTTATTTATTCACGTGTATGCGAATAAATGTTTGTGTATGTATGTATTATATACCTTTTTTTCTCCACCCCGCGAATTTAGGATGAGGTACGCAAATCTGTTAGCCAATACATGGCCTATGCTCATACAACAGTCAATGAACTAAGTCAACAATATCTACAGAAAGAACGACGTCATAACTATACAACACCAAAATCATTTCTAGAACAAATTAGTCTATACAAACGTATGGTTGGTGCACAGATAGATGAGCTGCAACGCAAAATTGAACGTTTAGTCAACGGTTTGGAACGGTTGAAAAGCGCCGGGGAACAAACCAGTGAATTAAAAGTCCAACTAGCTGAACAAGAAATTATTGTCAATGAAAAAACAGAGAATGCTAACAAACTAATTATTGTCGTCGGTAAAGAAACTGAAAAGGTTACAGCTGAGAAGGAGATTGCTGCTGAAGAAGAGGCGAAAGTCAGTGTTATCAAAGCCGAGGTTGAAGTGAAACAACACGAGTGTGAATCTGATCTCCGCAAAGCGGAACCAGCTTTGATTGCAGCCCAAGAAGCGTTGAACACGCTGAATAAAAATAACCTATCTGAATTGAAAGCGCTGACCAGTCCACCACCAGATGTTGTCACCGTCTGTTCCGCTGTCATGTGTCTATTCGCTATGGATGGTCGACTACCGAAGGATAGAAGTTGGAAAGCTGCTAAAGCTGGTATCATGTCTAAAGCTGATCAATTTTTAAGTAACCTGGTAAATTATGATAAGGAGAATATGTCAGCGAATAGTAAGGCGGCAGCTTTAGAGTATGTTAAAATGCCGAATTTTGATCCAGATATAATTCGGACTAAATCATTGGCTGCCGCCGGTCTCTGTTCCTGGGTAATAAATATCCTGAAATTTCATGATGTCTATTGTGAAGTGAAACCGAAACGTGATGCACTGGATGCAGCCAATGAAGAGCTACGTCAGGCTACAGAAAAACTTGAAGGTTTACAAAAGAAAATCGCCGTTCTTGAAGCATCGTTAGCTGAGTTAACAGCCAACTTCCGTGAGGCTACGGAAGAAAAACTGCGTTGTCAACAAGAAGCTGATTTTACGGCTAAAACACTGGATTTAGCCAATCGACTGGTGAATGGTTTTGCCTCGGAGAATGTTAGATGGGCAAATCAAGTCGAGGAATTAAAGGTACTCGGTGAAACTGTAGTTGGTGATGTTTTGATAACAACAAGTTTTATCTCTTATTTTGGTTATTTAAGTCGAACATTTCGTCAACAATTGCTCAATGTTAAATTGTGGCCATTTTTGAAAAGTCTACCAATACCAATCCCGGTTCGTGATGGAATAGATCCGCTAGATATGCTAATTGATGATGCAGTTATCGCTACATGGAATAATCAATCCTTACCAGAAGATCGTATGTCTATTGAAAATGCTACAATATTTACATTCTGTGAACGTTGGCCATTGTGTGTTGATCCCCAGCTGCAAGCGATTAAATGGATTAAGGTGAAATACGGCAATGAATTAGTGGTCACACGGTTGGGCGCCAAAAATTATTTAGAACAAATTGAATTAGCCATTACAGATGGACGTGTTGTACTGATTGAAAATATCGGTGAGACGATAGATCCTATCCTAGATCCTGTAATTGGACGACAGACAGTTAAAAAAGGTCGATTTATCCTACTGGGTGATAAAGAAATCCCTTACAACACGAATTTCCGTTTAATTCTACAAACAAAACTAGCCAATCCACACTATCAACCAGAATTACAAGCACAAGCCACTCTGATCAACTTCACAGTGACACGTGACGGTCTAGAAGACCAACTGTTGGCAACAGTTGTGAGTAAAGAACGTCCAGATTTAGAGCGGTTAAAATCGAATCTAACAAAACAACAAAATGAATTTAAAATCACATTGAAAACACTAGAAGATTCCCTGTTGGCTAAATTATCTTCATCCGATGGGAATTTTCTCGGCGATCATTCTCTAGTTGAAAATTTAGAGACAAATAAAAAAACAGCTAAAGATATTGAAGAAAAGGTAAGAGAATCGAAGATCACCGAGAAAGAGATCAATATTGCTCGTGAACACTATCGGTTAGCTGCTCAACGTGCTGCACTTATCTACTTTGTTATGAACGATTTATGTCATATTCATCCAATGTATCAATTCTCATTGAAAGCATTCCGTACTGTCTTTGAAAAGTCTATTGAGACTGCAGAACAATCGGATAATGATAAAGAACGTTTATTATTACTCTTAGATAATATTACCTATTCAATATTTGTTTATACAACACGCGGTTTATTTGAACGGGATAAATTAGTCTTTACTGTATTAATGGTGCTACAAATCCAGTATACATCAAAAGAAATCCCACCGATCCTAATGGATTTCCTACTGAGATATCCTGTTGTCACAGATGTACAAAGTCCTGTTGACTTTTTAAACGATTTAAATTGGGGTGGTGTACAAACTCTAGTGAAAATGAATAATTTTCGTGATTTAGACAAGGATATTATTGCATCGGCAAAACGTTGGAAAGTATTTCTTGAAAGTGAAGCCCCAGAGAAAGAGAAATTCCCCCAGGAATGGAAAAATAAAAGTGCTATTGAAAAGTTGTGTATGATGCGTGCTTTACGACATGATCGAATGACATATGCATTGAGGCATTATATTGGTACAACATTTGGCACAAAGTTCATTGAAGGTCGTCATATTGAATTGGCTAAATCGTTTAAGGAGTCTGGACCAGCTGTACCAATCTTTTTTATATTATCTCCGGGGGTTGATCCATTGAAAGATGTTGAAGTATTGGGGCATAAACTTGGTTTCACTGTTGAACATGGTAATTTTCATAATATTTCACTTGGACAAGGTCAAGAGATTGTCGCCGAGCAAGCTTTAGAGGCAGCGGCGAAAAATGGAGCATGGGTTGTTCTACAAAATATTCACCTGGTTGCACGTTGGTTAAGCACACTGGAGAAACGGTTGGAGCAGTATGCAGAAGATGCACATCCAGATTATCGCGTGTTTGTTAGTGCAGAGCCAGCAGCCGATGTATCAACGCATATAATTCCACAAGGGATATTAGAAAATGCTATCAAGATAACCAATGAACCGCCTACGGGTATGCTGGCTAATCTACACAAAGCGTTGGATAACTTTAATCAGGTAAGCCATTTGATAAGTTGGGTTATGTAAGTAGGGTTTCTGGCGTGTGCTACTCACAAAATTTATCAGTAGTATATTAAGGGATATTGGGCCAAACAAAACATTAAATAGTGGAGATGTGGAGAGATCTGACATCAAAGAGAGGAAATGGCTGGGTTCAGAGTGCTACCTGCCACACAACGGGGCCTCCATTAATCGACCTGGAAAGCCACCCCCCCGACAGGTCGTCAATATCGACGCTGTGCTTAGCGTCAACACCCGATGAATATGAACACCCTTATGCAAGAACCCTTCGTCTCCACGAAACTCCCCACCCTGGCCTCCAAGTAGCTAGATTGCAGGCGTACGACACCTTTCTTTGGTTGGTAACGAAATGCATATTTGTAATTTCATATACACATATTACGGAATTATGCATGCCATATATTAAAATCGTCATTCGCACAGATCCTCCGTGTTGTGCTACTTTTGCCCTTTGTATTGTGTTTCATTGTCTTCTTTGCGTGTCTCTCATGTTTCCCCTCAATACTATCCTGGTTCATTTCCTTTCTTTTGGCGTCAAATCTATCTCTCCGCTACTTGATATTTTATGGCGATGGACGTCTCTTTATATTACTACTGAAAAATCTTATCCGTAGCACACGCCACGGGTTTATTGTAACTGTTAGCTTTATCATTAAATAACGCAGATAAGAAACTCCAGAGGGACAAACATACGTCTTGCTGATGACTGGTGACAAGTACAAAAATCTAGGAGTACTGGACAGCTGTTTCGTCAGCCTAGTGCTTGTGACTCTTCGGCAGTACCCACCCACCGGGGTTCGAACCCAGGACCTTCTGATTACAAGGCGAGCTAGCACGTATACCATTAAGCCACTGGGACCCGATCCAATGGCCAGAGCATGAATTCTAACTTCTGCCAATTCATTATATAGTGCAACCGCTAGCCAATGTCTTCGGCGAGTATTTGTTGTTACACCCGACCTGCCACACCCTACTGGTTACGACTTCCCACTAGAACCCCAGGTAACTACCTACCTGAATGGGGCAATTCGCCAATGAGCATCTCATTGATATTCAAGTATCGGTTTGTAGGTGCGTATTGCCGAAGATTCACAAACTAGGACGAAACAGCTGTCCAGTACTCTCAGGTTTTCCAGTGGTTCTCTAACCAATGTCAGCTCATGTGTGCGTCGGTGGCACAGTGGTTAGGACTCTCGTCGACCATGCATATGGTCTGGGGTTCGATCCCCTGCCGACGCACACCCGATATCTATGGTCGGCCTGCAAAATTTGGGCTACCGATATCCATGCTGAAAATTCCATACTTGTACTGAAAATACGGTGTGGCATTAAGCTGTAATTGAAATGAAATGAAATAAATAATGAAATCGTATATTATTTTTATTAATTGAATCTGTTTGGTCCTTAAGCCCGACAACGTTTGCCTCTGAGAGAGTTGGTTGACTGAAATGCAATCCCAATTCCAGCTTCATAAAGAATCCCATGTGAGGCCTCTGATATTCCTTCTTTAGACGGCAGTAATACAGAGTCTTTAAATTTTATGACATTTTTCTTATTTTTGTCATTTTCATCATAAATCTTGTCTATGCTGTGGTACATCTTTCATTTTTGAATAAATTCTGGTGGGTAGTTACTTATTCAGTAGTAGTGCTGGTTTTCAAGAAGCTTTAATTACTTTTTTTCCTTCAGGTTCCCGGTGGAACATAGCGAGGGCTTCAAGCTAGTGGCTTGAAGTTTCTGTAGCAGTGGTGTTTATTTTTACAGAATGGATTTGCCTGCTAGCCTCATGCCCGACCTTTCCTCTTTACCAGCTTTTTATTACCGGCTTAGCGTGGTAAAGGAGTGCGTCTGTGGCCGGGGATCGAATCCCGGACCATGTGTATGGTCGGCGAGCGTACTGACCACTGTGTTGCCGACGCACTCAGGACCTTAACTAGTAAGCCAGTAGATTTAAATCATGAAATCAAACAAATAACAAACAGGGTTTACAAAAACTGTAATAATAATAATAATTGAGCCTTTCGAACCCGTCTTTTACACATAGCCGAAGCTATGAGAATTCGAGGGAACAATTCTAGTCTTTGCATGCAAAAGAAGTTTGTTCCACATTTGTCTTTCCCTTGCTTAGCCTAGGTGAATTCTATTCAAAACCCTCCAATCCTTTCTCGTTTTCCATCTCCGTATTTTTATGATATTTATCTAAAGTCTGATTATCTGTCTACTTCACCTTCAGTATTACGTAACTCTTAAGATTCGACCTAATTTATTTATTGAATTGTCTACATATACATATATTACTACCTTTGTTATTCTTATCGCCACCTGTATAAACCTTATTATCAATATTTTGGTATCATTGTAATCATCGTTATTAACTACGTTCAAAACATTTACCACATTATTATTATTATTATTATTATTATTATTATTTGATCCACAAAATCACCGTCATTGGTTAAATTCTGTTTTATATATAAATCTGTGTAAATTAGAGTAAAGCCTGAAGAAGATGTAACTGAAAACAACAATATTGTTCGCTTATATGTCTTGTTCTAATAATAATAATAAATTTATTCTGAAGAGTCACATTCAGACACAATATAGAATTTTCCGAGAGTTTTATAACAAAGATATTTTTGTATTTCCCAATGAATGAAAAACAAAACGATATCAGAAGAGTACTCAATCAGCTCGACATTAGAGTTTTTTTCAAAACATCAGACATGCACTCTGCAAAGCAACCTTGTCCATATAAAAGACCAGATCCCTAAAGATTCTTTATCTAATTGTGTCTATAAAATGAAATGGCTGCTGGGAATGTGATGCGATATACATCGGACAAACATCACCAGTGAGAAATCAAAATCAGAAGAAAGGAACACCGTAGAGCCACCTCTGTTTGACCAACCACCGAAAAATCCGATTAGTGAACTAGAAAAGCTTGAAAAATCCTCAGCCATAGGTCGTCCACTCGCTACGCTATAGAATTAGGTCACGAAATTAATTTTGACAATATTGAAATCATCATCCAGAAAAAACGTTTTAGAAATCATAATGAACGTCTCACATCATCAGACGCACTTCGTATCAAGTGGAATCAAAATTGTCTGTATAGAATTGACGGACTAAAACAGAATTTGACCTGGTTACAACACCTCCCTCCCCAAAATGAAATGACAAAATCAACACGAATGTGATAAGCAATTTCGTTATGTAAACACATCCTGCTTTTATAATTTTATACACTTATCAAATCCAACAATCCACACACCTGGTTTTGTTATCTTCACCAATTGGCCAGTGTGACAACGTGAAAATGACCCCATTGCTGAGGAACGATGATTAAGTTGTTATATATAAGCTGAGGAGATTCAGTAAATTCTGGTTTAATAATACTACTCTGATAAAGCTGTTAGCATCAGCATTAAATAGCGAAACTTCAGTAAAAACAACAATATCGTTTTGTTTTTCATTCATTGGGAAATACAAGAAAAGTCTTTATTATAATGAATATCATTTACCCAATGCCCTAAAGATTTTTTCAAACTGTTAAAAGTGAAATTGGTTTGAACATATGTAAGGTATTTACTCATTGGGAAAAACGTTACAATAATTGACAATATATAATTTCTAATGTAATATCATTCCATCCAAAGCATGCTATGATACTATTCCCCACAATATTATTCCTCCATTTCTTTCGAAAAATTCTTAGCAATAGGTAGAAACATAATTCAAATTGTGCGCGAGTATATACTGTGACTCATTAGGGGTAATTAGTTGATTAAAACAATGTGAAATAGAGTAAATACTACAATGCATTTTGATGGATTAAAAACTTGTTCAACCCAGTGATTTAAACAAGCCAGCTTGTTTCAAGAATTAGATCTTTTAGGAGATATCTTCATCCAAAATGGATACCTACCAAGATTGATTGACAAAAATATCAAACCTAGAATTTGGAGGAATGAAACTTCATTGGCGGCGGAAAAGAAACTCTACATGAACTTCGATTTCAAGGGAGATTCAGTAAGCGATATTTTCAAGAGAAGGATGACGTCATCTCTGAGAAGAACATTCTCCAGTCACCCACTGATCTGCAGAAACCTCAAGGACAAGAACCCACATCTGACCAGTTCTATGTGGATATATCAGTTCAGCTGCTGATGTGGAGCCAGGTACATCAGCTGTTCGACGCGCATCCTGTACAAGAGGATTCAAGAATACTATCCAGCTTGGTTACTAAAAGGCAATAGTGGTGTTATAAGGAGTGCGATAATTGAACACCTGGTAAACACTGGTCATTCCATCTCAACAAAAAACGCCTCCTATTTCAAACTAATCTATAGAGTCAAGAATAACCTACCAAAGGCAATACAGTTTTGTTTTCTTTGTATCGCTGAAGCTCTGGCGATTCCCATAGAAAAACCTGAGCTGTGCCTACGAAAGACAATTACTCAGCCACTTCTATTATCATGGTAACAACTTTGTTGATTTTCGATGACATAATTTTGTTTCTTTGCCTGTTTCTTTAGTTGCTTATAATTCTTGTATTCATTTAGAACTCTTACGTAATTTCATATTCTCAAATTTGTTCCTATGTGTATCCTGAGTAAAACTCAATCATCAGACTATTCATATTATTACTTACGTAACTCCTTTTTAACAACTGTTTGTGACAACTCATCACCTTTGCTACTACTACACTAGTTTCATTAACACCTAATTTTCCTGACGGTTTTTGTATTACGTAACTCCACCCAAAAACAGCTAAGAAAATGAATTCGCCGAAAAAAGACTCTTCGTTGAACTACGTGTTTTGTTTTCATTAATGTCTGGATTGGGGGGGATTATTCATAAATCAAGAATATTTATTTATCTGATCCTTTTACAGTCAGTCAATCAGCAATGTCATCATGGTGATATTTCACGACAAATCCATGTGATTTTAACACCATGTCTACTTAATTAGTATTCAGTAGTATATTAGCACTGTAAACTTTTATTTATTTATTTAAAAGGAAATAATAATATTAAAAATAGTTATTTCGCTTAAATCAAGCTATACACACATCCTCAGAGGCATCCTTGTCCAGATAAGTAAGCTGAGATATCAGATAATACTGATGGCTGTTGAAAGTGGGAGACTTGTAGAGATTGGTGTCTATGACTACAGATGTTAAGCGGCATACAATGATAAGTAATATTGTTGTTAGGCGTAAAGTATGAAATAATGAGAGAATCTTAGTCTTAGGCATAAATCTGACCTAAACAAACTGGTTAGCTCTCACGAGGTGTGCAACATAGATGGCACTGTAATAGAAACCAAGTCGGAAATTAGATATCTTGGTGTCATGCTATCTGCTGATCTTTCCTGGTCCTCTCATATCTTGATGATTTCTAAGAAAAAATTCCGTCTTACCCTCTATATCAAGAAGTTAAGACATTCTGGTATAACCCAACCCTTACTCTTACGATTCGTTAACTCTCGCATTCTGCCTATTATTCTCTATGGTTCCACCTTAGTTTCTCCAGGGCTACTGAAGGAGGTCTATATCTTATTACGCAGGGTGTTAAAGGTTGTCAGCATGGTAAGCAACATGCCACATAACCACCTTGTTAATATTCTGGTCGACAGGCAGGCACTTGAACTCATGTGAAAATTGGGCTAAATGCATCCTGTCTAACTCACACCACCCTATTTATTCACAACTCTCCACTTGCATCTCATCAGGCAAAACCAGAAGCCTATATAGAAAACTATATGCTCGCACTAGCAAGTACAAAAACTCAACCATACCCTACTTGGCTCGTGTTCTGTGCGATAAAGAAAGCATTAGGCGTGACACCTTTAATTCATTAAATAGTCAGTAGAAAAATTGGGTCTCGTCTTTCCAACTCATATCATTCATAGGTACAACGTTTTCTTTCTCTCTTTTCCTTTTCTCTCTCTCTATTTTTTTCCGTTATGTGCTGCTTTGTTTCTCTCTTCCTTACAAACTCTACTTAAAACATTCTTCTTCGTTCTTTCACACTCTGTATATCTCAACCTTTTTGTTACCGCTTACGCCAGTAAATATGTTACTATCTACTTTTGTAACACCTTCAAACACTCTGTTCAATTTTGGCTTTGCTACCGACATGCTAATATGTTGTTGTCAAAACTAACTGAGATTACCCATAATCTATGTAGAATTTTATTTACTGTTAATGTAGAAACTGGGTGCAATACTGTAGTGAAATGCTGAGAATTGCATTCTATATCACAAGTACTGTTTTGGAATAAAGCAAATTATTATTACTATTATTATTTATGAGGTTGTGGAGTTAAATCGATGGAAATGGCTAGGATATATGTTACACATGTCGAGCCTTCATCGTCAAGTAATGTTAGCCTGTTTGTGTTCTCAAACTGGCTAGCAGCTAGTTGTTTGAGACTGTAGGTGAAAAAGCACAGATGCATTCATTCCTCATGACCTCACAGATCTACTGAAACATCGTGTTCCTCTATGTAGTTATTTCGTCTCCCTTGGATCTCAGTCAGTCAGTCAATGGCCTGTTAACTGAGCAGTTTATGGTAATATTATTGTAAAGCCATGTAGTACTTTTTAAATTGTTTACTTATAATGTAAACAATGGTTTCCATTGGAAACCAAACAATTAATTCATTGAAACAACTGGATTAATGAACTCTATTGTTTTCTTTTTGTTTTTTTCTTGTTTGGAACAGGAAACACTTGAACGTTGTACAAAAGAAGCAGAATTCAAACCAATTTTATTTGCTTTATGTTATTTTCATGCTGTGGTTACAGAACGTAGTAAATTTGGTTCACAAGGTTGGAATCGTACATATCCATTCAATGTTGGAGATTTATGTATTTGTTTAGATGTATTATATAATTATTTAGAAGCAAATAATAAAGTCCCATGGGAAGATTTAAGATATTTATTTGGTGAAATTATGTATGGTGGACATATAACTGATGATTGGGATAGACGGCTGTGTAGGACATTTTTACAAGAATATTTACAACCTGATTTAGTAAGTTAAAAAATAATCTAAATTTTTGAGGAGTTTGGTTTGTAAGGATTAAATTTGTTTTTAAGAGTTTGACCATGGATTAATATCAGTCAGAGGATCAGCCAGCTGTTTCATCCTAGTTTGGAGATCATCGGCAGTACGCACCCACCGTAAGGGGTTCGAACCCAGGACCTTGTGGTTACAAGGCGAGCTAGATCGTATACCATTCAGCCACTGGGACAGGATTCAATGGCCAACACATGAATTCTAACTTCTACCAATTCGTGATTTAGTGCGACCATCAACCAATGTTCCTCGGTGGGAACTCTATCCATCCTCCCGCTTGACTGGTTGGACATCATTGGTCACGATTTCTCACTAGAACTCCAGGAACAACTGTGATTTCAGTAAATTCTTCTTCGCACTCCACAATTATAAATTCATTAATTTTAGCAATACTCACAGTAGTCAGTAAAGAGCATCTCAAACAAACTACAGAACTTCATTAACAGTTGTCTTCGCTCAATTACTCAAGATCAGATGGACAGCCAGAAAAGATCAGCAACAGAGATCTCTGGGAGTGAACCAACCAGGAACCAATTGTGAAACAAATAGGCAGGAAGAAATGGAGATGGATCGGCCATACTCTGAGAAATCAAACCATCAAGTGACATCACTAGACAAGCCATTGCTCGAGTGGAACCCGAAAGGGAAGTGGCGAGTTGGTCGTCAGTGCGAGGGTGACTTGGAGGAGGTCATGTGAAGAGGAGATGAAAGCGTGTGGGCAGACTTGGAGCCAGGTGAAGACTCTAGCAGAGAACCGAACGCAATGGAGACGCACGGCTGAAGCCCTATGTTCCTCTAGGAATTAAAGGAAATAATAATAATATAATAATAATATAAGTAAAGGCAAATTAGAGTTGTATCAGAAAGTGTACTGCGCGGTATGAGTACAAGATGGGACAACAGTCAGTTAGTTTTGACTATCATCTCGAATATGCATAGTCAGAAAGAAGATGAGATCGAGTGAAATGAACCCAACAGAAGGCACAAGTTTTAAGGGTTGAATGTAGTCAGTGGTGTGAGAGAGAGGCAATTTGAATACCGACAAGTGGGATACTCCAGACGTAAGTAAGTTCAAAGATGACAAATAACACTAATAATAATAATTAATAAATCACGAGTTTACAAAGTTAGAATTTAGAGGTGATTTAATTCGTAACCAGAAGGTCATGAGTTCGATCCTTGACTATGGGGTCATGAGTGCACAGCACCGAAGAGTCCAAAGGCAGGACGAAACAACTGCCCAATGCTCTCCCTGGTTTTCAGTGGTCTATCTAATAAACACAGATCATTGAGTTATTTTATTTCATTTTATCTCATGTTCTTATTGACCACACAATTAAAAAGACGGTTGCAGGGAAGAAAATTTTCGTTTCAACGAAGTCGTCAACTAGGCTGTACATTCGTATATATACATACATATATGTAATAAAGCTGTGAGAAAGTTCCAGAAATATCTTCCATCAATGAAGAACATGGGTGAGTACATAACAAGATACTAGAACATTGAATGAATTCTGGACACTCAGCTCCAGTTGAAAAGTCCTTCAAAGCTATATACAAGACCTGATCAAACTACTCAAAAGAAGTGAGATCAAGGCATCTGAGCATAGCTGAGGTACTAGCTATCCAAAAATTCACACACACCCGAATGTACAACTATCTAGTTGATGAGGTCCTCGCTAAAACGAAAAATTGCTTCGCTGCAACCATCTTTTTTGATTTTTTCCTCTGATCTACTATTTTAATTGATAATTAAAACTAACTCACTATTATTCCACCTTATACTTGTTCAACAAAATACACTTTCTGATGTAATTCTAATTTGCCTTTGCTGCTGGCTGTTGTCGGGCTCACATACTAATGGATTGATTTATAATTGTAGAAGAGACCTTGAGAAGAATTCGTTGAAAACAAACTATTCTCTCTGATTAGTCTTGTTCTGAATAAATCATAGGGACAAACAAATTACGCTAGCTGTAATCAACCAATCACAATAAGTATATATGTAGCCGTCTAGGCCATTTACTTAATCCTGATTGGCTGTTACTCTCAGTCACTATGGTCATGCCGCGAAGAGTACTTGATCCTGATTGGATGTTAATATAATTAGGCGTAAGCGAATAACGACAACACAATAAGAAGACGTAGTTTATCTGAAACGTGTAATGTATTGGCGCAACACATTTCGGACATTCTGATCACACACGTACTTGTCATACACAGTTTTTATATAATGCAAGAAGACATGAATAATTACAATACAGGTCAAGGTCACAAATGATGGGTAGGGAGACACAAAAGGTGAGGGTAAGAAAGACAAAAGGAGAGAAAACAAGGCAAAGAAGGGGTTGAAAATATTAGGAAGTAAATTAGTCCTCGGTTCTAAATTGAATTACCAAGGCAGGTTTAAGGTGATAACAAATAATTTTTGTACACATAAGACAGGTTTAAGTCTTTTTATGGCTAAGGCTTCAATGAATTTAAGTATGTGGCCCGACCTCGTTTTATATATCGGCTTAAAGGCACTGTTGAAATCAACCTTATGACCCGTCTCTATAATATGCTTGGCTATAGATGATGTTGGACATCTATTCCCGGGTTCAATTGTGTCTGGTGATTTCATTTGTTGCTGCAGCCACTTGGGAATGTGTTCTGTAGCCCTAACCTGCAGAGACCGATGGGTCCTCCCTATGTACGTGTCTCCACACATACATGTAAATTGATAAACACAATGGGATGTGACACTATCGTTCGGATGATGTGAGGGTTTACAGAACAGCATAGTCCTCGTTTTCTCTATGAAGATAAGTTTAGCTGCGTAATAGGTTCTATTGATTGCGGCCTTAAGTCTTTGTCTGGTGACTAAACTTTGTTGATCACCTCTGAACGGTAAGGATATGTAAACATCCTTTTTGGGAGCTGATTGGATTGGCAAAGCTCTATGGTTGACACTTCCGTAACGTCTAATAAATCTCAGTGGGTAATTGTTGTCTAGCAATATTTCAGTAAGGTGTTGTCTTTCTTCTTCAATTGTATCGGCAGTACATATACGGTGAATGCGCTTAAACAGACATTTAACCAACGCCTTCTTATACTGTAGTGGACAGAAACTATGATAATTTAGGTACTGTCCCGTCCATGTGGACTTTCTGTAGACTGATCGCTTTACTGACCCATCTTCTCGGCGGGTTATTAGTACATCTAAAAATGGCAGGCAACCATTATTCTCTTTAACATATGTTAGTGATATACTGTTTTGTGCTCTATTGATCCGGTTCAGGATTTCTACGGCGTCTGTCGGTTTATCACAAATGACTATTATGTCATCTACATATCTTTTATAAAAATAAGCTTTTCCAATTTCTTTATCCACTAGGTTCTCGACATGCGACATATATATATCAGCTAACAATGGACCTAGGGGGCTTCCCATGGCAACACCATCGATCTGGCGATAATGCTCGCCCTCGAATGTGAACTTAACATTCTTAGTACAAAGAAGCAGTAACTCTTTTAAGTAGGAAGTGGGTACTGGTAATAGGAAATCATTGTCAGAGATGTAATCGCATAAAATGTCAACCGTCTGTAAAAGAGGTACATTCGTAAATAAAGATTCAACATCTAGGGAAAACATCGTTTTGTCCTTTATATCAACGTTATCAAGACAATCAATTAACTCAAAAGTGTCTTTCAATGAGAACTTACAGAAGCTTTTTCTAATTGGCTCTAATATTTCAACTAGCCACTGTGCAAGTTTGTGGGTTGGAGATCTGCACATTGACATTATGGGACGTAGAGGAATGTTAGGTTTATGTATTTTGGGGAGACCATACATGTGTGGTAATTCGGACTGCGTGGGCTTTAGTGAATTGAACTTCTCTGTGTTAATCGCATTCATATTTAAGAGTTTTACTAGATTATTTGTCACCATATTTTGTACATCCTTCACATCCTCCAGACTGGAGTCTCTCATAAATTTATCATTATTTCCAAGAATGCATAACATTTTACTTTTGTATTCAATTTTGTCCATTATGACTACACCAGACCCTTTATCTGGTCTGAGGATAACGATGTCAGTATTATACTTGAGTTCTTAAGCGAATAAAAAAAATCGGTCATCATATTATGGATAATAATATTAGTGGAAATTAAAAACAAAATCGGTTTCCTGGATATTTTAGTGACCAGGAGAAACGATGGAACGATTAAGCGATCTATATTTTGTATACAAACATGCTGTTGACAATATCTTCATTTCACTAGTCTTGTTCCTATCCAGTATAAACGAGTGACACATTGGTGGATCAGCTTCGATGTATACATTCAGTTTTATTAGCTAGTGGTTATCCAGAAAACTTTATCAATCGTCACTGTAAAGATAGACCACATCTTGAAAAGACACCTTCTGTACCAAAGAAAGCTATCTGTCTTCATTAACCTACCATTCGACGGTAACCAGATTATGCAGTTGACAGCTAACTCAAAAACTTCGGTCAGCCATTAAACGCATATTCTACGCAGCATCTCCTTCGCTCACGCCTCGAACATTTTTGATCCCTATATCTACGATTACAGGATGAACTTCTGTAGACTCTTTCAAACTGTATCTACAAGTTCACCTGCAGTTGTGGTGACACACACCTATATGGGTAGAACCAATCGAATGTTACAGTGTTGTATGGTCGAAAAGAACATTTTCCAAAATGGTTACTAAATCATATAGAAAATGCCAATGCATTTAATCTAGATAGAAATCTAGCAGCATCCACTGCAAAGCACTTTTTAATATCAAGTAACAAAATCAAATTAATTACCACTTCACGACTATTTTATAACAATAATAATAATAATTTGCTTTATTCCAAAACAGTACTTGTGATACAGAATGAAATTCTCAGCATTTTTACTACAGTATTGCATCCAGTTTGTACATTATCAATAAATAGAATTCTACATAGATTGAGGAAACCACAGTTCATTATTACAACAATACATTGGCATGTCAGTAGCAAAGGTAAAGCTGAAACAGTGTTTGAAGGTGTTAGAAAAGTAGGTGCTATCATATTTAATGGCGTAAGCGAGAGAAAGAAACAAAGCAGCACATAACAGAGAAAAAAGAGAAAAGGAGAAGAAAGAAAGAAAACGTTGCACCTATAAATCATGTGAGTTAGAAAGACGAGATCCAATTGTTCTACTGACTATTTAATAAGTTATAAGTTTCACGCCTAATGCTTTCTTTATCACACAGAACACGAGCCAAGTAGGATATGGTTGAGTTTTTGTACTTGCTAGTGCGAGCATATAGTTTTCTATATCGGCTTCTGGTCCTGCCTGATGAGATACACGGGGAGAGTTGTGAATGAAGAAGGTGGAGTGAGTTAGATAAAATGGATTTGGCCCATTTTTCACATGAGTCCATGTGCCTGTCAACCAAAATGTTAACAAGCTGGTTAAGTGGCACATTGCTTACCCTGCTGACAACATTTAACATCCTGCGTAATATGTTATAGTCTTTCTTCAGTAGTCCTGGAAAAACTAATGGGGAACAATAGAGAATAATAGGCAGGATGCGAGAATTAACGAATTGTAGGACTAAGGGTTGGGTAATACCAGAATGTTTTAACTTCTTGATGTAGAAGGTAAGACGGAATATTTTCTTAGAAATTGCTAAGATATGAGACGACCAGGAGAGATCAGCAGATAGAATGACACCTAGGTATTTAATTTACCAATTTAGTTTCTATTTCAGTGCCGTCTATGTTGCATACCTCGTGAGAGCCAAACAGTTTGTTTCGGTCAGATTTATGCCTAAAGGTGAAATTGACTGTTTGGCATTTGGAGGGGTTTAGAGTAAGACCGTTTTCCTTGGCCCGCTGGCTGATTTCTGACAGAAAGCCATTAAGTTTAGAGCAGTCGCTTTTATCGCATAACTCTAATTCAAGGATGGTTACTGAAGGTGGTGGAAGCACTCTGGATTTATCACATACATCCTAAGCTACATGTACAAAAGAAACAATAGACTTCAACCTTCGATTACCATGAAGTAACTACTTGACCTATTTAAATATGATCGGACATTAGTATGTACTTTTATTTAACTGAATTTTAGATTTTCCCGTCGATATATTGAACCGAAGTGCTCGGTCTCAGGTTGACATGTCTGCTTCTTGTGCAGATGCTTCGACGATGTCTGGGGATGTAGTTAGAATTTAATTGGTGGATGGTGACTCGTAGTGGAATCCAGGATGCACATTTCGTCCAATTTGGGACTGGTCATCTGGATGTACCTGTATTCCCCAGTGAGTGATGATGTTCCCACTGGGGCTCGAACCCAGTGCCCATAGTTTCGAACGCCAAAGCGTTATCCACCACGAGAGCCACGGTGCTAGTTTCTACTTTATAACACCTTCAAACACTGTTCAATTTCGGCTTTGTTACCGATATGCGAATATGTTGTTGTCAAAATTAACTGAGACTACCCATAATCTATGTAGAATTTTATTTGTTGTTAATGTACTAACTGGATGCAATACTGTAGTAAAAATGCTGAGAATTCCATTCTGTATCACAAGTACTGTTTTGGAATAAATCAAATTACTATTATTATTAGTTATCCCTCAGATATTCTTGAAGCATCCCAACTAGGGGGTGACTTGTCAAGACCATTCTGGTCCAATCGATCAACGGTAAAGTTAAAATTCAATTGAAAAAGGAACATACATATATATTGTTTAAAATTCCGCTTTCATCTAATTCTAGGTCGACGGTGATCTCTATCTATCGCCTGGATTTCTTGTCCCACCAAATTCAGACTACGCTGGTTATCATGCCTATATCGACAAGTATTTACCGCCTGAATCACCTTACCTATATGGTTTACATCCAAATGCAGAGATTGAATTTCTGACAAAATCAGCTGAACGTGTATTCCGTGTCGTGCTTGAACTGCAACCACGTGACACTGGAACTGATGTCAGTGATGCACCAAGTCGTGAAGAAACACTGAATAGTCTGATAGAAGATTTATTAGATCGTCTATCGGATGGATTTCCTATGAATGAATTGTACGCTAGACAAGCACCGGAGGAACGTGGTCCATACACTGTGGTTGTCTTACAAGAATGTGAACGAATGAATATTTTAATTGATGAAATTCGTCGATCACTTCGTGAATTACGTTTGGGTTTACGTGGAGAGTTGACAATCTCTGGTGCAATGGATTCGTTGATGAATTCTTTATTTTTAGATCAGGTAAGTAAGTGTTGTCAAACGAACAAAAATAGAGAAGATTTTGGAAATATTTCATTTACTATACACATTCATAGGAAGCGACAGGTGTTTTAATAAAGCAGGATTTAATGAATCCTTGGATAGTGAGTGATATTAGAAGACGGAGATTATCTCAAAAATCTGGTGTGATGTATTTGAGTGCAATATACATTTCGAACAATAATCTGATCCCTCACACATTCACTTGTCAAGTCAATTTATATGAGAAAAATAAAGGCCAATTCGAATACACAAAGTGATAAAAAGTATTTAAGAATACTGAGATTAATTAACACTACGTTTGATTTAATTGAATTTTAGGTTTTCCCGTCGATTGATTGGACCGAAGTGCTCAGTCTCAGGTTGACATGTCGGCTTCTTATGCAGATGCTTCGACAATGTATGGGCATGTAATTAGAAGATAGTTGGTGGATGGTGACTAGCAGTAGTGGAATCCACCAGGATGCGCATTTCGTCTTGTTTGGGACTCGTCAGCCAGTGGATATCCCTGCATTTCTCAGTGAGTGATGATATTCCCACCGAGGCTCGAACCCAGTGGATGGTGACCAATTCAATTTTAATTAAATGCCCAGACATCGTTTGAAAGTATAGGCACTGGGTTCGAGCCTCAGTGGGAACATCATCACTCACTGAGGAGTGCAGGTACATACAGATGACGAGTCCCAAATAGGGCGAAATGCCCATCCTGGTGGATTCCACTGCTAGTCACCATCCATCAGTTAAATGCTACGTTCGATTATCTATTCAGATAAGGGTTGCTATGGTAGGTTAAGAAGTAATAAGAAATTGTTTTCTATAGTTGGTTTGTAAGGATTAGTTTTGTTTTTACGAGTTGATCATGGATTGATATCAGTTAGAGAACCATTGAAAATCACCAGCTACAAGGAGTACTGCCAGACAGCTGTTTCATCCTAAATTGGGAATCATCGGGAGTACGCACCCATTGACTGGGGCTCAAACCAAGGACCCTCCGGTTACCAGGCAAGCCACTGGGAAGTCGTGACCAGTGAGGTCCAACCAGTCAAGTGTGAGGATGCATATCCCACTGACGACATTGGTTGGCGGCACGCTAAATCACAAATTGGTAGAAGTTAAAATTCATGGGCTGGCTGGCCACTGAATCGGTTCCCAGTGGCTGAACGGTGTACGAGCCAGCTAGCTTGCTTTGTAACCGGAAGGTCCTGGGTTCGAACCCAAGTCAATGGGTGCGTACTGCCGATGATTCCCGAAAAAGGGTGAAACAGCTGTCTGGCAGTACTCCCAGCTGGTGGTTTTCAATGCTTCTCTAACTGATATCAGTCCGTGGTCTAACCTGATCAGCTCGTAAAAAAATTGTTTGCTTAAGTTTACGAATACCTATCACCTCAGAGTATTTCAGCAAACACCATTGATCTTTTTTAAAAATAACCTTTAGAGCTGTTTTGACTTCAGTCTTGTCGTTCATACTGATTAGATATTTAACTATGAACGACGTGGGTAGTCTGCCACCCGCATCTATCGATTTTTCATCTGTTCATCTGCATTTCTAACCTCTTCGGAATATGTTTCTCCCACGCTTACATACAAAGTGCGATCGCTCCTCCCTCTGTGTCCACATACACACACAAACACACACTTGGATTGGTATATAGTATGGGATGTGGCATAATCACTTGTGTACTTTTGAGGTTTGTAGTGGAGCATATCTCTGACTTTTTCAATTATTATTAGCCGGACTGCACAATAAGTCCTACAGATAGGGACGGAATAGATTGTAGGTTTTAAAACTAATTAAATGGCTTCCACACCAGCTGAAAAGTTCTTAGGGGTATCCGTTCTCAGGGAGAGTGTCCGACAGTAATCTATTTTCATCTTCTATTTATTTTATTTATTTTTATTTTTTATTTTGAGTGCAGCTTGATTCCACACCGTATTTTCAGTACAAGTGTGGAATTTTCAGCATGGATATCGGTAGCCCAAATTATGCAGGCCGACCATAGATATCAGGTGTGCGTCGGCAGCGAGTCGAACCCCGGACCATGTGCATGGTCGGCGGGAGTCCTAACCACTGTGCCACCGACGCAGTACAAATACGCTGAATCCTCTTGAATAAGCACTTTGCCAAGTCTCTGTTATACTGTAGTGGACTGAAGCTGTGAAAATCTAACTATTGACCAGGCTTTCTATAAACTGGCCCTTTTATCGAATAATCTCCTCGCCGACTCAGAAGTATGTCTAAATATGCAAGCTAGTCGAGACCTTCTTGTTCTTCACATGTAAGGCTTATAGGATTTTGTACGGAGTTCAGTCTATCCACTGCGTAGAATAACACTTTGTTATTACTCCTTAACCTACCATAGCAACCCTGATCTGATTGGATAATCAAACGTAGTGTTAATGAGAATATATTCTTAAATCCTTTTTATCGCTCTATATAATCGAGTTGGCCTTTATTCTTCTCATATAAATTGACTTGACAAGTGAAGGTGTGAGCGATCAGATTGCTGTTCGAAATGTATATTGCACTCAAATACATCACACCAGATTTTTGAAATAATCTCCGTCGTCTATCCAACTTTATAAAAGGAACAAATTGTTTTGAATCCAATGAATCCTTCAAGTTTCACTATCATGTACATCGTCTAGGAAATGCTTAGTTATACAATTCTTATGATATCTTCTTTGCATTGGGACCTACAGACAGATACTTGCAGTCACAGTGACTTGTGGGATTAGCGTCTATAAACCAGGTGTCGATATACAAGAAATCGTTAGTGATACCTCTGACGCCGCAATTGTAGCATTTCTATTGTTGTCGGTTTATGTCATTTCAGAACAAAAATAGTTAGAGCGAATAATTGTGGTTTCCCGAGTTGATCACGGACTGATATCAGTTAGAGAACCATTGAAAACCAGGGGGTAATGGACAGCTGCTGTTTCATCCTAGTTTAGGAATCATCGGCAGTACGCACCCACTGGGATTCGGACCCAGGACCTTCCGGTTACAAGGCAAGCTCGTATACCATTCAGCCACTGGGACCCGATTCAATAGCCACCGCATGAATTCTAACTTCTACCAATTCGTGATTTTAGCGCGACCCCAACTATTTTCGTTGGTGGGACATCCATCCACACACGTGACTTCTAATTGGACCTCACTGGTCACGACTTCTCACTAGAACTCCAGGAAGCTCCAACCTGTAGCAAGTCACTAGCGAGCATCAGAAAAATTATCGAATCAACTACAAATACATGTAATAGGAATGATTCATCACCTGTCCCCGATATCTGGAAAATTCTACTACCCTTACGACAAATAGGAGAGAACAAAGAAAACTATAAAAATCAAGTGTCAAAGTCGTGTGATCACAATTGATATGATTATGAACAATAAATTTTGTTCGAAACGTCATCCAGTAAATAATACTATTTCACTGTGTGATATATCAAATAAACAAACTAATATGGAATTACTTACTACCACAGTTCCCAAGTTTTACACATATATTAATATAGAAATTTGTGGTTTCAATAAATCCGTCTGCTTTAGGCTCTACAATCATAATTCTATTGACTTAAGCATACAGTAGCTAGCCAGCCAGTAAAGGCAAATTAGAATCATATCAGAAATGTGTATTGTGCAACAGGTATAAGATGGGGCGGAACAATAGTCCGTTATAATAGATTTGTATAATGTGGGGTAGGAAAATTGACAAGTCAGTTCAAGGTTATAAAAGGCGTCAGGCGAATGAGTGGCTAGTACAAAGTGGTATATATAAAACAGGAGGAGATTGTAAGACTGGAATGAGAGAGGTTCATAATGAAATAACAAATGTGTGAAATGAAACAGGTGGAGGCGGCATATATTGAGAAAAGAGATAATACCCCTAATAATAAGTCCAGGTAATATAAATGGAAAAATCGACAGTATTGAGAGAATGTTATGACGAATAATAATAATAATAATAACTGTAATTATAAGCAAAGAAAGAAGAACAACCAAGAGGGTTAAGGGGAAGAAGCACTCTTGGTGAGAAGAAGAATCATCAATCCAAGTTTGGCCACGGTAGGAACAGCGTCTGGATGTGTTATTTTTGTATACAAAGTCCCGGTTTATTCGATCTTATTGCAACAGCTTCAGCTGTGTGTACCAGACGTAAACGAACTGTACGTGATAACGACTTCGGAATTCGGTATATAACCCTGAAAGCTGTGTTGACGTCAATGCTATGTCCAGTATCGACAGAGTGTGACATGATCGAGCTTTTTGTGAACTTAATTCCCCCCCCCGTTGAGCCTCTCATTGCCAGCCACTCAGATGACACCTTTTATAATCTTGAACTGACTTGTCAATTTTCCTACCCCACATTCTACGAATCTATTATGACTAATCACCACCAGTGTCACCCATTTTAAATTAGTTAGTTTTTTAATATGCATGATCAATTAGAACAGGAGATTAAATGAGATGAAATAATTTAATGATGTGTGTGTATATATACAATCAACAAAAGTACAGCTTTCGAGGGTGAGTCTAATCAGTAGTGTGTGAAACAAAATGAATATTACAGAAAATAAACCAACGAATGAGGTGGACTAGACGTAAGTTCAAGGTTGAAAATAACGACAATAATAATGTGATTTTGTAGGGATTTTTTCAGTTTGATTAGTTGGAGAACCAACATGTGCTATTGTCATATAATCTTTGAGTGGGGTTGATACAAATTTGGATGCTACACTCCATAATGTTGAAGTAGCTTTCAAATTACTTTACGGTCAGTATTGTTGAAGGCCTTTACAAAGTAGATGAAATTGAGGTACAGGTTTGATTGCCTGTTATAACTGCATCGAACTGAATAAACTCCGTCGCCACTTTGTTATATCTACACTTCTAATTGTTATAACGGTAATGAACTCGAGTGGTAAGCTAATATGCCTATTTGTCTGTTGTATCTTCTGATACATTGAGCCACGCAAAAATCAGTTGGCAAAAACTGGTCTGTGACTGTAAGATACTGTGCAGTTAAGGTGACAACACATCATATTTATACATTTTAAGTACCACAATACAGTCGGATTACAGCCATGAGAATGGATTGTTCTTATGGTGTGAGAAATGCATGAGAAATGATAGATTCATATCGTAACACCATCATAAGACGAATCACATGATTCGTGAGAAAAGATGACATACTACTTTATGCTGGTTCCTATCATTGCTATTCTATACTTTGTTCTATGATGATGCGTAGATATGCTACTTGATTCGCACATGATTTGTTTTCCCTGATTCAAACCTGTTCCTCAGGAGCGGAGCATATTTTATTCCTTCCAGGATAACGCGACTTAGTATTTTACTTAGCGTGGATAGTTCCTCTCATTTCTACTAATATAGCAAGACTGTAGTGGCATAAGGCTAAGAGAGCTGGTGACAGATCTTTTTAACCACATCAAAAGTTGGCCAGACCAGCGGACAGTAACCTATTCTGATTGATGGTGGTCGGTGATTAGCAAAAAGTTAAACAATCAGATGAAAAGTTGTCCAATGAAATTATTTATTGGCCACAAAGCTAACTAAATCCAGATTTAGGGAATAAACACTTTCACCTCTGCATGCAGCCATTGACTTACAATGTTGATTTCATTTTTTGGCCACTTTCTATCAATATACCTCTATATAGCATACGCTACAATCAACAGTAATAGGTACTGGCAACAGTAAAGAACGGACACCAAAGTCAAATGACCTTGAAACAACCAATCAGATTCTTTCAGTTAAAAAGTGGCATAAAATTAGTAAAAAACTGTATTTACTCACCTGGGAAGCATCGTTTTAACTACAGGCGAAACTGACGAGGATATAAAAGCAAGAATCGGAAAAGCAAGACAAGCTTTCACTACTCTCAAGTCTGTGTGGAGGTCAACAGCACTCAGCATCAAAAATAAGATCCTGATTTTCAACTCCTATGTGAAGTCATAGGATCAGAGACTTGGAGCGTCATAAAGAGCATCTCAAACAAACTACAGACCTTCATTAACAGTTGTCTTCGCTCAATACTCAAGATCAGATGGCCAGAAAAGATCAGCAACAGAGATCTCTGGCAATGAGCGAACCAACCTACCAGGAACCGATTTTGAAACGAATAGGTAGGAAGAAATGGAGATGGATTGCTGGCCATACTCTGAGGAAACCATCAAGTGACATCACTAGACAAGCCATTGCTCGAATGGAACCCGAAAGGGAAGCGGCGAGTTGGTCGTCAGTGCAAGGGTGAGGGTGACTTGGAGGAGGCCATGTGAAGAGGAGATGAAAGCATGTGGGCAAACTTGGAGCCAGTTGAAGACTCTAGCAGAGAACCGAACGCAATGGAGACGTGTGGCTGAAGCCCTGTGTTCCTCTAGGAATTAAAGGAAACAATAATAATATAATAATAATATGTAATAAAAGTGAACCATACAGGATAAATGTCTCCAATGTGCTGCAAAACTGGTCACAGTTTCTCATAGGAGTGGTTATAGAGATATTAAACCAATGCCGATACAAAAACTCATCTAAGGGACTATATACCATATCACTTGGGGAACCATTTACCATTCCGTTACGTTTTTTGAGGTGAGCCCAAAATCCTTCAGTAGAATTTGTATGTGTTCGCGTTACAGGATCCACCAATTCAGAAGAATGGTTGACTTTGTGACGAATATAGCTTAGTGATGATAATTGAGAATAACCTCTCCATTCGTCTGTGTGAATACTAGTTCCTGGGAGGACTAGTCGTTGTATAACTGGTATGTTTGGGATGCGTTCCACAAACTCTTTACGAAGATTTGTGTCGTAAAGTCCCCGTACCCAAACATGATTTTCTCTACTCCTCCCTCGATTCATTTTTAGCTTAATAAGTACAGTTTCGTCAATATGCACGACGACGCCAACTCCCCCAAGTACAGAGGTGATCCCATTTAGCTTTTGTGAGGCAACATCACGGCAGTACTGATACCACTGCACTGTTGAAATCTTTGTATTCTCCATTTCTGCAGCTGTAGCAGATACTGGTCGCTTTAGTAACCAGTTGTGGCATATACACAATATTTTACTAAGGGACAATTTCGATTTGGAGAAGAAAGTATCTAAAAAATCACCAGCTATGTACGACTTACCAACTCGCACAGATTTCCTCATTTAAACAATGGTTGCATCTAAGTGCGGAGCCATCAGTAGCCGCCCGGCAATACTTTTGTAGAGTTATTATCCCTCCACATATGCATGTTTTAGACCTCCCTATCAACCCATTTTCCACACAGAAGTCAAAAAATAAATCTGGATGAGGCAAAGTTAAACTTTCGACACCAGTAACAACCAATCAGCAAACGACTTTGGACGGACCAATCACATGAAAGAGGCGTTTATGATAAGCGGAAACGTATATTTATAGAAAAATGCATAAAAAATGATAAAACGGTTACAATGGGCATCTTTCCTGAACATGGGAGAGAAATATTTCTCAATTCAGAATGGGACTGTCAATAGAGAAGTCGCACCACATTTTATACATATATTCATCTAATATAAGAATAAAACTTGGGCACTGTGGTAGAGTGTAATTCCATTATGGGTAAATTTTATTTTATTTTACTGTATAACACTGTGAGACTCTATCAAAATAAAATTTACCCATAATGGAATATATTCATCTAAATTACTATAATTGAGATCCTTTTGAGATCCATTTAGAGCCCTTATTCTATTTTTTAATCGACTCCAAAATTTTTCAATGGAATTTGTATGAGTCCCTGTAACTGGATCCACGAAATCACTGGAGTGGTTCACTCTGTGATGAATGTATCCCATGGATGACAATGAATCATAGCCTTTCCACTCGTCGGTATGTACAATCGATCCCGGTTTCACAAATCGCTTTATAATAGGTACCAGAGTAGTCGCCTTCCTGTCTGCTATTCCTTCAACAAATCCTTTTCGGAAGGACGTGTCGTATAAACCTATGACCCAAATGTTGTTCGCTCTCTGACGACAGCGGTTATATTTCTTCTTCACCAACACTGTCTCATTCACATAGACTACTACGTCGTCCCCGCTTAACAACGAAGTAATTCTGTCCATTTTCCATGAGGCGATGTCCCTGCAGTGCTGGTATAACAGTGGTATACCAATGAACTGTTGAGACGAGGCTGTTCTCCGTCTCAGCAGCAGCGCCTCTCACGGGCTGTTTCAGTAGCCCGTAATTGCAAATGTACAAAATCTGGGTTAGGGAGAGATGCTACCTAGCAAAAAAATTTCCTACGAAAATATTACCCTCTCTAATACTAACTCGCTTCCAGCATATTCCACAACGATGTACAAAACCATCAGTTGACCTAGTATATCTTTTTAGAGTCATTACACCACCACACGAACAACTTCTCTCCTTTCGAAGCAAGCCTAAGTCCAGGCAATACTGAAAGACACTATCCTCCTCGAATTGCAAACGTAACTTTGTAAGGGCATGCATTGAAATGAATCAAGCGCTATACAACATTGAACTACGTTCGTGATCTCATTGGATAATTCGATGTCGTTCGCTGATTGGTAGTTATTGATGTCTAAAGTTTAACTTGGCCCTGGGTGAAACTTGCAACGAAGCTGATGAACCGCATCCATTTTGAATGATGAACGATCTGATTGGCTGTTTCAAGGTCATTTGACTTTATTGGTGTCTACTCTTTACTCTTGCCTAGGTACTGACTGAGAATTTCCCCTAGAGAATGAACGTTCTCTTAATGCATAACGGTATTTTTATAGACTGTGTATATCACTGTGTATTTTCCCTTTTAAAGTATTTGTTTGTTCTTTAATCTCACATATTGTATCCTCTTAATTTATCTTTTTCTGTCTTAAGGTACCATCAACCTGGGAACGTTATGCCTATCCAAGTCTATATCCACTTGGCTTATGGTTCGCCGACTTGTCAAATCGATGTAAAGAGCTGGATATATGGGCACAAGATTTAGGCTTACCAGGCTCTGTATGGCTTGGTGGTCTATTCAACCCACAATCATTTTTAACTGCAGTTATGCAACAGACAGCAAGAAAAATGGAATGGCCATTGGATAAAATTTGTATCAGTGTTGAAGTAACAAAAAAGACAAAAGAAGAAATGGGCTCAGCACCAAGAGAAGGTGCCTACGTGCATGGTTTGTTTATTGAAGGTGCTCGATGGGATACAAGTGCTAACTCGATAGTTGATGCTAGAATTAAAGAATTGGCACCAGCAATGCCTGTTATCCTGCTTAGAGCTGTACCATCGGATAGACAAGAAGGTCGAATAGCAGCAATGTATGCTTGTCCTGTGTATAAGACAAAAACAAGGGGACCAACATTTGTATGGACATTTCATTTACGTACAAAAGAGAAACCGGCTAAATGGATTATGGGTGGTGTTGCACTACTTTTACAAGTATAAAAGTAGTATGAAAGACTAATCGATATGATGTATTACTCATAAGAATAATTATAATAGAGTTTAGATTGTTTAAGGAATATAGTGCTGAATTAATTGTATAATAAATGTATTATCGAATTGTTTGTTATGTGTTGTGAATCCGTTAGGTTTCAGCCGAGTGCACTTAAGACTGTTTATATCTCAGAATGCCAGCTATCCTGAAGGAAACTTTGGAGGGAACCAGCTACTAGATGGTTCGATTAGTCTTCCGCCCCTATACTCACGTTATACGATCGGTTTGCACTTCAGAAACGCTACGGTCCTCCACCAGAGTTTTCTCTGGCTTCAACCTTCACAAGCATAGTTCACGATCTTTCGGGTCTCAACATGTACGCTCTTGCTCCACCCCGACGGTGCACATAGCACAAGGTCACATGTCTACGTCATGGGACGGGCCGGTGATGCGCCTGCTGCTCGCAGCTTGGAATTAATGAGCAAAACAACAGGATCTAACCTCAGCCTGGACAAGCCAAACCTTTACCTTCATTTCACCTTTGGGTTTCGTAAAGCCCAATGACTCACGCAAATGTTAAACTCCTTGGTCCGTGTTTCAAGACGGGTCAGGTGGATAGTCTACCACAACACCACAGACTATTGGCCGAAACTAAGACACACACCACTACCAACTGAACATGATCAAGCCATCAACTGAGCAGCCGAAACTAGTAACAAGTCGATCAGACTCAACCACACCTGAAGGACAGAGCGCATATGCAAAGCCGCCGTCTTCGACACATCGTACAGATCCACTTTAACCGGCTAGTAACACTCATAGCCCACAGAATGGACCAATAAGTTACCTTCCAACCCAACCAAGCCCAACGTTAATCAGACCTGATCAGTTTGACTACAACAGACAAACAGCAGTGCCGGTCGTGGTGAACACCCTGAGAAAGTGCATTGACAAGCAGACTCATACACCCTTCAATGCGTGTGGCACATGATAAGCGCACCACACATACCCACCAGAGGCAGGCACCCGCAGTTAAGCAGATATTAAAAGGCGGTCAATATGTCCAAGCACAAATAAATTGTGCTCGAAACGTGGTCATCAGTAAACATTACTGTATAACACTGTGAGACTTTATCAAAACAAAATTTACCCATAATGGAATTACACTCTACCACAGTGCACAAGTTTTATTCTTATATCAGTGCCGTTTTGGTTTTCAGTGGTTCTATAACTGATGTCTTTTCATGACGAAATATGCATTAGAATTATATAATTCTCCATTAGAAAATTAGCCACACAGATCATAGATGGAGTAACTTTGACGGATAATGTGAAAACAAACTGAACTAGAAAATTCCCTTTTAAACATTTAGAAGACAAAAGAAAGTTCCAGAAAAGAAGACGCTTTTCGATAAATTGCTCTTCTGGCTCTAATATTATATATATATATATATATATATATACAGCAATAATAGAATTACAGTTCAAGAAAGATGTATAAATTATAATAAGCATAGAAAAATGTGATACCAAATAGAACATCAAATAAAATTACGGGTAGTTAAAACCTGAATGGTCAAGGTAAGGAAAGCGTCTGAACCAACTTCTTCTGGCCAGGTTAAACTTTGAGCACCACTAACTAACTACCAGTGGAGTGCGACCACACCAATGACCTTGAAACGCTCACTAAGCAAGTTAGTGAAACCTGGCAAATAATGTTGTCATCATCAATAAAATATGCTCATCGAAGTGTTATGCTATTAAATAGGATATCTGGCAAGTTTCAGGTTAGGTTTGAGAAAGATTTAGCTACGCACTAAGCTAAGGATAATTTGGGGTTAGGTTAACCTAATGAAGGCGACATTAGGGTTGGTTCGAGTTAGATTACAGGTAGTTTAGGGATATTTCCACGCTAGGGTTAGGTTCAGCAAACATCAGGGTTATTGTTAGGGTTAGAAGACCTAAATAATTACTTGCAAAGAATATGGTTAAGTTTCTCTGTTGATATAAGAATAGTACTTGTGAACTGTGGCGGTAGAGTATAATTCCATTTTGGGTAACATTTATTTTGATAAAGTATCAGGGTGTTACACAGTAATATTTACTGATGACCACGTTTCGAGCACAATTTATTGCTCAGTAAATATTACTGTATTACACTTTGAAACTTTATCAAAATAAATTTTACCCACAATGAAATTATACTCTGTTGATACTCCAACCTAAAACTGAGAGTTATTTTCCTCACATGTGACAGGAAGGTATCCTCTGTAACACTTTTTCATAATTTTTATGCAGTTTTTCATAAATATATGTATTCCATGCACAAAAGTGTCTCCTTCACGTGCTTGGTGTGTTCGAGGTCATTCGCTGATTGGTAGTTAGTGGAGGTTAAAATTTAACTTTGCCCTTTTTCTTTTTGGATACATAAGGTAGGCTTCTTCACAATGTGGATTCCGACAGCTTTGGCAGCAATTTTTGTAAACAGACGAACTCTTAAGGTAAAATTAAGACTAGTCGGTATATGTGTGTCTTGTATCCAAAGGAGATGAGTTAGAATCGAACTATGAATGAACTTTATTTGTCGTCCCTTGCTTAACCACACTGGATGGTGTTCGGAAATCCAACTGTGAACGTGCCTAATTTTACTTCCTGGGTAACTGGCTTCACAGGAGCAGTCAAACTGATAGATACATATAGAAGAGGTGAAAATTAGGTTTTGAGGAGACAGCTTTCTTCAGCAGCATTGAATGCTCTTTCTGCGTCATTCCTCACTAATGTTATCATCAAGGAAGTGAAGTTGTAAGAACATGACATTTTTCAGAACTGTCGGTACGCTGGCTTGCCTTGGCACTTTAGATTTATATTCTTGTCGATAAAGTTCTCTGGGTAAGCGTTCTTACTCAATAACTGTTTAATAATTTTGAGCTCTTCATTAAGATATTCATCAGAGCTATGTGAACTAAACACTTTATTAGACTGTGTTTGTATTTCAAAGGTACAAAGCTGGGAAAAATGACTATACCGACCAGTTGATGCAGAGTTTCTATGCACACTCCTTTCTAGTCATAAGGACGTCTAGGAATGAAATATTAGAGTTTCTTTCTTTCTCGATCGAGAAATTTACTGGATTATTATTATAATAATATATTATCATTACTGTTTCCTTTAATTTCTAGAGGAACATAGGGCTTCAGCCGCGCGTCTCCACTGCGTTCGGTTCTCCGCTAAAGTTTTTACCTGGTTCAAAATCTGCCCACATGCTTTCATCTCCTCTTCACGTGACCTCCTCCAAGTCATCCATGCATTGACGACCAACTCGCCGCTTCCCTTTCGGGTTTCACTCGAGCAATGGCTTGTCTAGTGATGTCACTTGATGGTTTCCTCAGAGTATGGCCAGCCAATCCATCTCCATTTCTTCCTGCCTATTTGTTTCACAATCGGTTCCTGGTTGGTTCGCTCCCAGAGATCTTTGTTACTGATCTTTTCTGGCCGGCCATTTGGTCTTGAGTATTGAGCGAAGACAACTGTTAATGAAGGTCTGTAGTTTGTTTGAGGTGCTCTTTATGACGCGCAGTGCAAGTCTCTGATCCGAATGGTAAGTGGCACTGACTTCACATTGGAGTTGAAAATCCGGATCTTACTTTTGACACTGAATGCTGTTGACTTCCACGCAGACTTGAGAGTAGTGAAAGCTTATCTTGCTTTCCCGATCCTTGCTTTGACATCTTCGTCAGTTCTGTCAGCCTGCCGTTGAAAGGATGCTTCCCAGGTGGGTCAGTAAAGGAGGTAGTTTCTTTCAGGTTCCTCTCATTTATGCTTATTGTTGTCTGTTGTTGCTGCTGCTGTTGGTGTTGGCCAGGAATCTTCATCACCTCTTTTCTCTCTATGTTAACCTGAAGTTATATCTTCTCTGCATGCTTCTTTTGCTAACTTGTTGCTTTTCATTTGCATATCTTCCAGTTTGTGGGAAATCAGACATATATCATCGGCGAAGTCCAGATCCTCCAAGTTTTTTGTGTGGGTCCATTCTATGCCTGTTTTCTCGCTGCCCACTGTCTGTCACACTATCCAATCCACTGCAATTGGATAATTACTGGAGGATGCAGATCGTTAAATTTTTCGGGGATGTTCTTTGCTTCATCCTCATTTTTCCATAATCAAAAATGTGTCATCCGTGTAGTGACAGTAGAATTTCAGCTGATCATTGACGTCTTTCAAAGCTCCATTCTGTAGTTTTGCAAAGAAAAATGTCAGCTGGAACTGGTCGTATTACCACACCATCAATGTGTCTGTATAATTCCTTATTAAATAAAAAAAATAAACATTCATTGTGCATAATAGAGAAAATTTGTAGCTCAGGTGGATGATTTGCTATTGGTAGTGTTCTCTGAGCTGGTTGATTTAGTTGAGGAGCTTTCGTCGTCCTCCTGGACAACATCTTCAGCTCAATTTTTTGCATAAATTGAACTGATTTAAATTTCCTATGATTGATAGAATTGCGTCTCCCGGTAACAGCTAGAATATTAAGACCGTTTGAAATAGATATAGCACACAAGCCAGTCAAATCACTCAAAACTTGTGCACTGTGGCAGAGCATAATTCCATTATGGGTAAAATTTGTTTTCATAAAGTCTCACAGTGTGTTGTATAGAGTAATATTTACTGATGACCACATTTCGAGGACAATTTATTACTGCTCATAATCATATCAAGATACCAAATTCTAACTTCCTTTATACAATTCCATTATTTTCCATCGCTTGATTTGATTGGTAGCAGTATTTTCCATATTTCCGGTATGCATGATGAGGCATTCCTATTGCACGTGTTGGGTGTAGACTCGAAGAACCAGGCAGGATTCATTAATCAACCTCTCTCTCCACCTACCCAGATTACTTTTTAGAATTTTAACCCCCTCCCATCCTATTGTGTGGTTGTGTGTTAATGCATGCATGCAGTGCAATTGCTGAGCTTTTTATAAATTACTCATCTTCGCGAGTGGGGT